GTATTTTGTTATTTTTGTACTATCCTTCATATTGAACCCAATAATCCAAAGACTTGACATTGTTTCTAAATGAAATAAACTTTTTTTTTGATCCTTGAAATTTTTAGTTAACTGAGAGTTTAATTTCTAAATAAGTTTTATTCAGCTTTTAAAATTAGAACAAGTTCTTAAACTCAGACCGTTCGGAACTCATTGATGGAATTAGGCATCAATTGAATCACCGATGGCTCATCAATTCTATTGGCTTTTGGGGTCAATCGATCCACTGGATGTAACCTCAGTATTGTGATTTCTCAATTTACTTTACGTATTTATGTTTAGTTTACTTTCTATCTAAATTTATTTTTGTTTTAAAATTACATGATTCATTTGGTAGATGTTTCCTTAAATATTTTTTTATTTTCATTTTTCATGTTTTCATAACCCTCCGCTGGAATCTAGCAGATCCTAAACTAATCATAAATCACTGTCCATCGGTGCTTTATTCAATTGATTGATGGATTCCATTGGTGGAATTAACGCTGAGTGTGGGTACTTCCCCTTACACTCATTGAGTAATCGCTTCTTTTTTTCTATTTATTTTTAAAATAAGCATTTCTTTTAGCCTTGCAACATTAGATGCTTCCATGGATTTGCAATGAATGTTCTTTTAATCCTCTGTGAGTTTTTGGAGAAGTCCGGCCTGCTGGTGACAAAAAAGTTGTACAATACTTCAATGAGATTTAAAAATATTCATTTCATTGAAACCCATATATATAATTAATATTATTTATAGAATAAGTAATTAGTTGGTAATTATTGAAATGTAAATATAGTTCTGTAAAATGAAACCTTTATTTTATTTTTTTTTTTTTTTGTCTCCTTTTTCAAAAGAGTGGATCAAATCCATATTTCTGGCTGTATACAATCCATGAATACACACTTGGATTCTCTGGACCCATAGATGTTTTTATATTCAAGAGATAAATTATTTGTCACGTTAATTAGGAAGTTAGAGGACTAAAATTGTTGATTTATATCATCATTATAGTAGCCAATCTAGCTGGTTATACATTTCATCCTGATTTTAAAAACATTCATCATTTATATTAACATAATTAATTAAAAAGTATTGATTGTTTTGAATTTATTTACTACCTTGGATCATACTTTATAGTAAAAAAAAGAAAAGGTGGTTAAATTAGTTAATTCCAATTATTTCAGTTAATCTCTTATGACAAAAAAATCAACATTATTTTTTATTGTTTGTTTAATCAAACCTTATTTAGAGATATGATTAAATACCAACCTTGAGACTTATTTAATCTACAACTGTTCCGTAAATATTTATTTTCTTAGAAAAAATATTAGTTCACTAATAGCTATTCTCTTCTGTTGAAAATTTAGTCACTAGTTACATTTTAATAGTTTTTAGTAATGGCCTATGTTGTCTTTTTTTATGTAAGCTGTGTGTAAACAAGATAATATGGAAACAAACTGCACAATACCTCAGTTTACTTTTTATTTTAAAACGGTTATAATGAGTTTTAACGGTTTTAAAAATATCAGAACAATCTTTTCTCCACTTTGCAACTCTATTTAATCTAGTTTAGAATTTAGTCCTACTATCGGTCTGTGGAATTAATGTTTTATAAATTATTAATTATAATAAATCTATTTCATGGCTAAAAATTTGTACAATTTTAGACCAAGGATATGGAACAAGGTACTTTTTATTTTCATTTCTATTGTATTAATACTATTGGGATATTATTAGAATTACTATACGAATTCCAAATGTTACATTACGTTGTAAATAGGTGTTTTTAATAAAACGACTATTTGGTCATGTTTCAGATTTTGTCAAATCAAACCATATTTTTGAAGTTGTAATTTATCATGTAAATTTTATATTTTGGATAGCTCTACTTTCCTTCAATTATTTTAAATTATTCATATTTCTTATTTTATTAAAACAGATCTATATAAGGAAACTAATTGTTTTTGAAAAGTTTAGATCTACATAATTATTACATTTCACCCTTGTGATAAAATAGATTTATATAACCTTTAAATTTTATGGAAAAATTCTTCAATAGTAATATATGTTTCTATATGGCTCTGCTTTCACTATAATAATTTATGGATTTATAATTTGGTCTGAACGGACCCTAGTCGCACAATAATAAAGGTATTTTCATTTCATATAATTATCAAATAAATAAATAAACATTATACATAATTATCTTGTATTATATTATTATCACATATTAGTATTGTATTGTATTATCAAGTTTTTGTTTAACATTCTATACTTGTTTTACTGCTTATTAAATTAAACCTTAGTCAAGTTATACTGAATGGACTATAGAAATGAATGAATGATTTAATTTGCCTGAATTGTATGTTTTGGTATATCTAAAAAGTTATTTATCTATCTGTATCTTGGAAAAAAAAAGGCCAATGTCCAAAATTTACAAATTAAATAAAATGTGCCAATTTACATTATAATATGCCCCAATTCAAATTTAAATTAAAACAAAATATATAGGGTAGGATATACATTAATTGTTAAATGGGCAAATAAATATCATCAAATTATTAACAATATAAACTAATAATGGTGGGATGTAAGCCCTGTTAACAATTAATGTATTCTATTTTCTAATTTATTTCATGCAGCTCAAACAATTTTCAAAATTCGAATTACTGGAAGTTTTGGATTAATTATATTACGTGTTAATTACTATAATTTCGATTTATTTTATCTATTTTTGCTATTATTTAAAGAACCTTCATATTAATACATGTTTAAAGTTGATACTAATTATTATTACAAAAATTATATCGAATTAATATTAATATTACTTTTCTTTTTAGTTATTTGCTAATAGTTTAGTTCTTGTCTAAACCAGTCAATTGAAAGTAGTATGCTCTATTAAAGCTATTGAAGCTTTCAAAATGGCCACATTAATGAAGATTGATAATTTAGTTGATCATTTCAGCTGACATAAAAACTTACATTCCTATTGGGCCTGAATTAGCATTCAATTTATGATTTTCAAAGAATCTAGTATTATTTTATAAAAATCAAGTTTTTGTTTTGATAAAGCTCAATAATAAAGCTGATATTTGTTCAATTAAGTGTTATTATCATTTAATTAACTATATGGAATACATGGTTTAAAAATTGACTTGTGACTCAAAGTAGTTTTGTACCTTGGAATAAATAGGTATTTACAGTTCTATTTTAGGACATGGATTAACCATCCATTTCAATCATCTAAAGGTAAATTAATTTAAAATCTTCTGTTTTTTTTTCTTTCTCTATCTCCGTAGTGCTATTAGGCATGGAGTAGCCTATATATATATATATATATATATATATATATATATATATATATATATATATATATATATATAGAGAGAGAGAGAGAGAGAGAGAGAGAGAGAGAGAGAGAGAGAGAGAGAGAGTGAGTGAGTGATAGAGTGATCCAGAGCTATTCTTCAGATTTGATCTATTTGGCAACCGTGTTTTCTTCCAAGCCTGTCTATTCATTATAGTATGGCTCTCGGTCAACCAACTTGCTTTCCTATTAGCCTTGCTTCCGTAAACCAGCAGGCCTTTCAGTCATATATCGCTAATCAAGGACTTCAATAACAGATCTTAATTATTTTATACATTATTATCTGTATACAACTATTGCTTCTCCTTTCATCCTATCTGTCCATAATTGCATTTCATCTTTTAAATATTATATTCCTTCAATAAAATATTTTTACTAGAAGTAATCTTGTTTAATATTATTTCATACTCTCACTATGTGTTACATTTTTTATGATATTAATTATAAGTTTTCGGATTATAAACACCATAAAAAGTAATCATACATTACAAATAACCACAACAATTATGAATTATCTAATATTATAAATCTTTATTTTTTTCTGTATCTTAAATTTTATTTTTCTGCTTTTCCTCAGAGTTAGATCTGTAGGGATTTTGCCGCTCGTTGTAAAGTGCCACTCAAGACAAGCGCCCCCTTTGACCATGCCACTTTTTGGTCTAACAACACTGAATTGTGTCGAGTTTACTCTATTAGAACTCTAGTATAGTTTATAGATAAATTAATCATAACTCTTATTGTCTTAAATAAAGGAATTACATTTGTTTTTTCCTGGATAAATTACAAATTTTTAACATCAACTATTGAATTTTGAAAATAGATCTCAGAGATTTTACCTTAACATTCTTAGTGGTGCCTAGATGTCATTAAATGACATATAGAAAACTATAATGTTACCCTAATCTGTAAATCGGGACACAATGGTATCATAGGCAATTGGCTAATGTACACTTCTGAGATGAAATAATTACTAAAAGTCAAATTGTGATGTAACAAATAACTCATCATGAAATATATTTCATCTTGGTAACTGTTAAAGGAAGAGACTGAGACCTACTTGATTTTGAAACATGGAATGAAACAGTTTAAACTCTCTATTGAATAGCCAAAAGATGAAGAACAATGTTAACTACTTTTGATGAGGAACAAGTTGAAAAAACAATAACAAGTATCTTCTTGTGTAATTATCCATAAAAATATGATCTCAAAAAGATAAAAAGTGTTGATCATTATGCTTAATGTTCTATAGCTTAAGGAAGAAAAGAATACCGAATATTCCCTCTATAAATAATGAATATTACTTTTTTTGAGTTAATAAAGGGTTATCAATTTCTTAAATATCATAATAATCATATATATATATATATATATATATATATATATATATATATATATATATTCCATTTTCTACAAAACTATGTATTTTTAGACTAATCTTAGTTCACTATTACACATAATACCCTGAAAGTTTTAATTACTTTTTTTTTCAGCCGGTCTGATTTTGTTATGTTATAAACGTTTTTGAACAATTTGGTTGTTAAATGCCTAATATTTTTTAAATTATAAGTACAATGTTACCATTATCATTAATTTAATGTAATTTTTTTTCTTCAGACTCTCAACAGGAGTGAGTCGATGGCCTCCTTGTGCTATCGTAATCTCTTAACTTACATAACTGAAGATGATCTCCAAGGGTTGCGGTCCTACCTTGAAAATAAGAGAGTACTGGTTGATGACAAAGATGAAGTTAGTATATTGATCTACTTTTAATTTACACAATAGAAATATCAATCCCTCATTATATTACTTTCTTACAAAAAGATATATATCAAAATCTCATGATCAAATTTTTTATATTTTTCATTCACTATGATTTTAAATATTATGAAATGAAAAATTTATAATTGGTTTTTTTGTTGGTTCATCGGATTATGTATAGCATAAAATATAAAATACTATCATATTATCAGTTTATTGGAAAAAGTCAATAAGAACATCTTGGTGGATCATAACTTTTAAGAACATTTTGGTGAATTTCAACATAATTTATTAATGAAAAAACACAAAAATTATATCAAAATTTTACAAACCTTATAATTTTTCAAAAATATTTATACTAAGTGCACAATGTTATATTTCCCTGAAGGATAATTTATCAAAGTACCTTAGTGATTTAATTTTATGAAATGTTATACTTGATATCGTTTGCAATGAACTGATGATAAATTATAACATTTAAGAGTATTTCACTTTTTCCAGATTTAAGGGTTGATTATTTCCTTTAAAAGTTGTTTTTGTAATTATAGGCTGTTACCCAAACCAAATGTTATTTACATTAATAAAATTCAAATTTCACAATGAAATAAGATATTATTTTCATGAGTTTTGTTAAATTATTATATTAAGCTTTAAATTAGATTTGTATCTTAAGGTGCAACAGGGATGAACAAAAGTGTCACAAAGCTCAAATCACATCATCTATATTTTTGACATTTTTACATTATTAAGAATTTTTTAAGGCCTTATAAATTTTGGAGGGAACCTTATTTTTTTGAGGTTTTAATTGAGAATAAGTTTCAAACCGAGGAACAAAAGATGCAACTAAACAAAAAAATTTTAATTTTACTTTCATTTGCACCATTTTTAAGAAAAGATGAGCTATACATTTTCTTGGAGGGAGGAGTGGGGATGAGTTCCTCTGAGGTGCATTAACACCAAATGTCGCCAACATGTTTTTTCACTAGCAGGGTGGCAACATATAGCATATGCCAACATTTTCAATGCGAGGTTGCGATGGCCAAGTGGACTAACGCTTTTGCAACACATGTGTTGCTTGGCAACCTCATGCCTTGAAGATTACCAGTTCAAGTCCTGGTGTCGGAGGTATTTAACTCTAGCATTAGTCGTCCGCCCTCTATCCTGGACAAGGAAAAACTCTGTATAGTTGAAAAGGTCAGGTTAGGAAGAAAAAAAAAAATTTATGATGCCAACTCTGTTGTAAATACGGCTTGAAAAACATCCAGAAATACCAACTTATCTTGTTTTCTTTTATTTCATTTATAATTAATATCTCTCCATTTGTGCCTTTATTTGTCATAACTTAGCTATTTTTGTTTATACTCACTACCCATTTTTTTTAGTATAAAGTAGTGACCTGAAAATGAAATATTATTGCATAAATACTCTATTTCTAACGTGATGTAAATTTTTTTTCTTTTATTTTAAATTTGTGAATTAGGAAAAAAATTACAAAAACTAAAAGTAATCTTATAATAAATTAAAAAACTAGACACAAATTGTTAATATAATTAATCAACTCATTTATTGAAATAATTATACTTGCCACATTTTATCTTCTACAAGAACTTGCACCTTTCAAACTTCTTAATCTCTTGCTGAAAAAACAGATATTTTGGGCATACAACGATTATTATTTTTGTCAATGATATTATTATTATTTGATGATGTAGGTAGTATTCATGAACAAACATTGGAGAAATTGACTTATTAAAATAAAGAAAATTATCTTAATTAGTTAACTAATTTTTAGAGGAATGAATTAACGCTCCCAGGAGGTATCGAGGATTAGGATTGATCCGCTGCCAATGGGAGGCTCCTCTACAACATTGGTCCATTGCTCAGCGACCGTCCAATGTGCCCGATGCCCTATTCCAATCGATTTTCGATTATTCGGCTGAGGTTGCTGAATGTGCCGAGAGATTGGAGGTTGATTGGGGTATTAGAAATATGAGAGCTCTACGGCAGTCGCTTCGAGAAAATTCATTCGAGGAATGGACCAATTGCAGGTGGCAGGGCATTGGAGTTCGCCATTTTAAATATACCCCGAAAGCCAATAAATACATGTACGATAAGGAACCGAGGATACTGAACTCAACAAGGAGCTTCATGGAGGGCCTTGGTGTCGACATAAAGGACGTGGCAAGGTTGGCGGAGAATATAATCCTCGACTCCCTGGGAATTATCCATCACCATGTGCATGGATAGAGAGAGAGTTTGTTCATGGGGGGAGGCATGCGTGTTTTACAGCATTTTTACATTATTTATTGACCACGTCCACTGCACTTTATGTATTTGTATGCATGTTATGAATTAGATTAGGAAAAGAGAGGAGTAAATCTATGGAATTAGAAAGATGTAAAAGGGGAGAGAAGGAAGAGAAAGGGATGTATAATGCTAATAAATGAATGAAAGAAATAGTAAAAATAAAATAAAAAATAAAAATAAAAATATAGGAAAAAAAAATTATAATAAAAAAATATATATATATAGATAAAAAAAAATTGTATACTATGCTCTTACATATTGTTATTACTATATAATTGTTTATTAGTTTTGAAAAATTGTCTGTAGCGATTAATAAGTATGCTGTGTTTAAAGCAACCCAATGTAATTGGGCAGCACCCTTTTATGATAATAAAGTGATTCTCTCTCTCTCTTTGTTAATGAGGTCCTATTTCTTGATAATGTTTTTTCTTTTTCTCAATTCATGATGGTTCAAAGTTTTTTTTTTTTTGTTAAATAATTAAGAATTATGTCCTTTAATACATATTTTTCTTTTGCAGAATGGAGCCACCGCCCTACACTTTGCTGCAACTAAGGGCAAAGTACATTTTGTCCGGGAGTTACTTAACCACAACGCAGACGTTAATGCAGAAGATCAGGTATCTTTCAAGTTTTCTTCTTTTAGACACAAATGTTTTTATTATTATTCTGCTGGTAATATGATTATAAGTCCTATGAGAAGGGGGAGCAGCTAGAGTCGTAGCTCATCAATTTTTTTTTTTTACTGTCTGTATGAATAATAACAAATATTCTATAGAAGTTTCATATATTAAATAATAATTATCTATTTTCTTTCCACATTTTTTTCATATATTATAAAAGTTGGTCATATATATTGTAAATGAGATTGGGTTTCAGTGGTGAATTTAATATTTTATGGGACCCACGAAAATTTATCCCTGAGGTCCATGGTTTCTTTACATCACCCTTTATGTTTATATTAATTAAAAATTGAAAGGTAATGAACTTAAAATTTATTGTGAATATTTCTGATTGCTTTTAAGATGTACGGTGTACCGGTAATAGACACTTTAAGAAAAATTTTCAACATTAATGTGAACTAAAACTTTAGTTCTGACGGTGGATATTTGCAAATGGCTTCAATTTCCAGCCAATTTAGTCTTTTATCAATTTCTTTTTCTTATACTGTCAATTAGTTTATTATTCATGAAAAACTTAGGAAATGCTAACAGTGTATTTTGCACCAGTAATAGGCACCCAAGTTTAGGCGTCCACTTGTTTTTTTATATAATTAAAAAAACAAAATAAATTCTTCACAGTTTTAAACAAGGAAATGGCAAACTACAGATGAATGAATCAAAATTTCAAACCTATCTCCTAAAGAAAAGTGAAAAGATCCAGCTTTGCTCCATTAAAAAATCAACCAATCGGCTATTGTGACATGATTTCACTTGAGGTTCAGGCATCACCCTCTTAAGTGTTCTAGCTTCAAACCTACTCCTATTTTCACATTCTGTTAGTCAGTTTAAAGCGGTCTATAACTGGAATATTTATGTTATGAATTTTATTTTTATTTAAAAAACAAAGGTAAACTTAGTAAAATCTTTTATTTTAACATACATTGCTACCATAACTCCTAATTTAAGCATGTATCTCAATGTGTGAGACCCATAAAGAGTTGGAAGCCTGTTGATTTTTAATTCTTTGTTTCCTCTCATCCCATTTTATCTCTTGCAGCTTATCAATCTGGAAATAAAGCCTAAACATTTTTTTGATAAAATAATATTTATCCATTTCACTTCAAATAACAGAAAAATATTTCAGACTAAAATCAAGCAATTTTAATATAGTATATTGTTTCATTAAAACTATGTTTTCTCTCCCATGATAATTTATATATTGTTGTTTAATTTATTTTATTTTTCAGGATAATTGGACCCCATTACTTTGTGCAGTCAAAGAGGGTCATCTTGATGTTTGTCAAGAATTAGTTGATAGAGATGCAAATATAGAACACCGGGATATGGTAAATTTTATCATTTTTATATTTAGATTTTGACTTAGTTATTTAATTGTTCTGACGCTTTATCAGGCTTAATTTGATTAATGTTCATTACATTTAAAATATCATTTATAAGGATTCATTTTTCTCAAAGTTTCTAGATAATTATAAATTTTATTTATTCATTGTTTGTTAAGCTTTTAAAAGTATTTAAATCATTATTTTCTCTTTAAAATGATAATTTTGATTTATATTTTAGCTATTCAATTATTTTTAGTAATTTAGTTTATGGTTTCCTAGGGAGGCTGGTCTGCACTCATGTGGGCTTCTTATCGTGGTCACACTGATCTTGCTCTCATGCTTCTTGAAAGAGGCGCAGATGTAAATGCCCATGGAAACTATCATATCTCCTCTTTGTTGTGGGCATCTGGAAGGGGTCATGTAGAAATAGCAAAAGCACTCCTTGCTGCTGGTGCTAAAGTTAATGTTGGCGACAAGGTTGGTCTCGTTATTTAAACATAATTCGTAATTAATAAATGCTACACTGTTATTGATTTTTTGTTTTTGTTTTAGTATGGTACTACAGCATTAGTATGGGCTTCAAGGAAAGGGAGTAAAGATATTGTTGATGCACTTCTCAAGTACGGTGCCAACGTAGACACAGCTGGGATGGTATATTTTTATTTTTATGGTGTTTTTATGTACAAAGTTCTCTAGAACTTACTGTTATTTTCAATGAAATTCCTTGAACATTTGTTCTAATGAGTTAAAATATTGAGAAACAAGAACCCGGAAATTAAATTTTTTTTTTCCGTAGTTTTAGCTATACTTCTCATCTTCTGAATTCTTGTTTTGTAACTAGATCTACATTTCGACCCCGATTTTTGGCAGCCTGAGTTTTTTTTCTTAATTCTCTTATTACATACTAAATATTTATTATACATGCACATATTGAAAGGTGATATCATTCTTCTAATTTATATAAAAATTTGGAAGCAATATCGGAAATTTAGGGGAAAAACAAAATTTAAGTTTCAACTTTCTTTTTTACGCATTAGTTTATCCTCAGGCTGCCAAATAAAAAGAGTGAAATATGGTTTTCATTCACTTCAGATGTGGTATAATTTTTCTTTAATTTTTAATATGATATCTGGATAATTACTAAATATTTTTGTCTAAAATATTGAATGGAACTATTTTTAATTCCTATTTATTTTATTGTCACAATAGCATTCTTGGACTCCTCTTCTGGTTGCAACAATGGGAAACCATGTAGATGTGGTTATGATGCTTCTTGAGCTAAGACCAAATGTGAATGCTATGGATAAGGACGGTTTTACTGCTTTGACAATAGCCTGCAAAGAGGGTTATTCAGAAATAGCAGCGGCTCTTATTGCAGCTGGAGCTTACATCAATATACAAGTAAGTTCTTTATTCATGTAGCAACCAAATGTGTATGTATTTAAACTGATATAATTGTTTGTATTGCTAAAGAAATCAGTTGCATAATGATTCACTGAGGTCATAGTTATTGTGAAAATACATTTGTTTGGATATTCTGCTGTTACAAAATCAGAAAATTAAGATTTTTTTATTTTTATTTTTCAGGACAGAGGAGGAGATACCAACCTAATTCATGCTGTCAGAGGTGGTCACAGGAGTGTCATTGATGCTCTTTTAAAGAAATATGCCGATGTTGACATTCCAGGAAAAGTAAGTGTATACTATTAATATTATTATTTGCTATATTTTTTCACTGTTTAAACTAATATTGAATGTAAATTTTCTATATATTTTTTTTTAATCATTTACCAAAAAGCTACAAAACTGATGTAATGTTTCAATCAGTGTTAAACTACTTTTGTTTTTTTCTTCTTTCTGAATTTCAAATCTATTAAGGATTTTGACTAGACCGAGAAAACACGATATTCTTATGTAATCAAAAACTATCCATTTTATTTATTTTGACATCTATTAAAAAAATTCACATTACTCCTAATTTACTAGACAAAAATTCTCAGAATACTGTGTTAGTTTTATGCCTGTGCTAGCCTTTAACATTTGTTCTCCTTCTCCAATTGGTACAGCCCTAAATATACGGCAAAGAATTTTCCATTCGAAAAAAAGGAAAGCTTTTTCCTCTGAACTTGTGAGAGTCCAGAACTCTGAGCCATAAGTTAGGACAGGTCTGATAAGGGTTCTGTAGTATTCACATTTGGTAGAGCAGGACAATGATGCGCTTTTAAGATGTCCATTCAGGCCAAATTGCATCTGTTGTCATTAATGAGTCAATAAGAAATTTCCACTTGTTTTCTTTTAGAACTCCATCATTCCACAAGACAGGATGAGGTGGGCGGGGTGGCCAAATAGACTAACGTGTGTGCACTGCACCACCATTGCCCGGCAACCTGATATATGACATAAAAATAGTCACAAGTTCATGTCCCGGTACCAAGGGAGTCTTTTAAATCCCCACCCACAACCTCTGGCCAGAGAGAACCCCGTATAGCCTCAATGGCGAGGAAAGGGAGGACCCCAAAAAAAAAAAAAAAAAAAAAGACAGGATGAAGTATTCGGGGAGCTTGCTCCACTTTTTTCCACACATCAATTTTTGAGGATCCCGAGGAATCAAGATAAGATCCCAGATATTTAAATACATCTACCTTTGTACAGGTCTGAGAGTCGACACAAAGATTACCGGCATCCTTGGCACAGATGGTTATGTATTCTGTCTTTGAGAAATTCACCTTAAGCCACAGACTCATAACATGCCCATAGTGAGTACACCATCCCTTTCAAAAACACATTTTTGTGCACGAATTAAATTGATTTTATTCTAATTAAAGTAGTTAATTATTAAAAATTTAAAAAATCTGTACCACTACAACTCATGAAGTGTCTTGGGTTCAGTACTATTTAGAGAAAGTACTGTTTGTTAGTCAGCGTTAGTGCAAGGAGATGATTTGACCAAAATCATGCTGAACCGTCAGGTTTTTCCTTCATAATTAATTATTTAATTAAGGGTTATGCGCACCAAACTTTATAGAGGTTGTGTGTGCCCCAAGAGGGTCTCCCGACCCCAGGGACGATTCACGGCTGATGAAACAGAATAAATAATTTATCTACCATAAGCCAGGATACGAACCTGGAACCTCGAGCATTGGTTGGCATTGGGACGCTCTACCACTGAGCTACCCCACTTTCTAGTTAATTCTTAAAACTAATAAAAATACTTTATAGTATATGTTTAAAAGATTTTTTGTGCTTTAACCAGTTTGTAAAACTACATATGTTAAACTGATTTGTTTAATGTCTCTATTTTAACATTTTCAGGAGAGAAAGACTGCTGTATATTCTGCTGTTGAAAAAGGAAATATCCCAGTCCTTAAGATGTTGCTTGCTGCTAATCCTGATCTGGAAATCGCTACTAAGGTGCTCATATGCTGATTTTTTGTACTCTGTTAAGAGACCCCGTTTTTTTATTTTATTATTATTTGTTTTTTGTATATTAAATAAATTCAAATAAATCTGCTTTCTCCCTTCTAGCGAGGTATAATATAATATTTTATTGTGTAGGATGGTGATACCCCATTGCTCAAGGCAGTAAGATCAAGAAATGTTGAAGCAGTTCAGTTGCTTTTGGAACGTAGAGCAAAGGTGTCAGCTGCAGATAAGTGGGGTGATACTGCTTTGCACATTGCTATGAGAGCCCGTTCTAAAGCAATTGTGGAGGTAGTTATATTAGTTTTATTTTTTTAAACTTAATTTTTTTCTATTATTTCATGAAAATAAAATATTAATTATATATATATATATTAGTAGTAGTTATTGATATGTTAGTTCTTTTATTCTTCCTTAACCTATTTATGACTTGATATAACTTACACATGATTTAATAATTAATTAAAGTTTATTAATTTTTTTTTGGAGTTAATGTCTTAATATACTCAAACTAGGGCTAGAAGATGGCTTAGTGCTAAGCAAAAAGAACATTTTTTAGAAACAAATATGTTAGATATTGCTTTAAATTCTTTGAGTCAATCTCACATAAAAATAAGGAACATTGATGATTGCAAAGTATGCAAAATATCTGTAATTTTCTTTTGTATTAAAAAATAAAATACCATATTTTTTTTAAAATTATTTTCTTTACTTTTTGTTTTGTTACATTGAACATCTCGTCCAACTTATGTTAATGTGGAGGAGGGAGTCCTCTTTATCTATTATTGTATTATAATTAATTAATTTTTTTTAAGGTACTTTTGAGAAATCCAAAAAATTCACAACTTCTTTACAGACCAAATAGAGCTGGTGAAACTCCTTATAACATAGATATAGGTCATGCTAAAACAATATTAGGACAAATCTTTGGTGCTCGTAAGTTATATTTTTTAGTTATTTAGTGTAAATAGCTATTAGGTATTAATAAAATTATTTCATTATTATTATTATGGGAAATTGAAAGGAACTGACAGATAGTGATGATTTAATCATTTTTAATTATTATTCTAATATAAGTTTCAATATTTCTATAATTAGCATATTTCTTCTATGAACAACTTTTTTTTTTAATAATAATTTGAGGAATTAACAATGTGTCACCTGTTTATCTCATTGACAACTGAAATTTCTTCCAAATGTAATAAAATCTTTCAAAACGAGAAAAATATCTCTTCTTATTTACCTTTCAGTATAAAATTATGGTTTATGCTAAGTCCATAGTTTCTTTCAATTTGGAGAATTCAATTCAGATGAGTTTTGATCTCTTGAGCTGATGATGACTGAAATAGAAAATTGTCGCTGATTTATTTAAATTTGCTCTGCACCATAATTCAATCCCAGCAACAGTTATAAGAAGAGCTGGCGTGTAATACAGTCCTTTTGTACAACTCTTACCCATTTAGAAAAGATCCAATTGCAGAAAGAGTGAAATTTCCTCACATATTGGAGCAAAGTTTGTGCTGTTAAAATTAAAAATAATGACTTCTCAGTCTCACTTAGATACATCCTCAGTATCATCAGTGCAACTGTTGGTAAAAGATATTGGCCCAAGGTACATTATGGGAGATGATAATAAGAGCCAGATTAATAAACAAATTATTTTAAAGAAACATTAAAAAAGAATTCCATTCCATGGATTGCCTTATTCTCCTCTATATAACAAACTGTTTACATATACTGGATTATTCATTAGTATGAATGTCAACACTTATTAATCCTCTTCTAAACGATGTTTGTTTACGTCTGTAGCATTTCACTGCTTAGAAATAATTCAGTCTTTACTAAGATGACAATTTTCGTATAATTTTGTTCTACTAGTTTAAACTTCTAACAAAATGGGGTGCAGACGGCCAGATATATTAATCAAGTCGAGGACAAGAGGAGCATTAATGGCTGCACTGTTCAATGGTGGTTCAAAACATTTTGGAGGGAGACGTCCGCCTTGAAGACAAAGAAGTTTGTGGAAGAACTTCTCTTGATGACGATGTTCTGCAGGCTTTGGTGAAAGAAAACACCTGAAAAACTGTTCGAAAGGTTGCAGGGAAACTTAACCTTAGCAAATCAAACGTCGATGACCACCTCAAGGCGATTGGTAAGGTAAAAAAGCTTGAAAGTTGGCTTCTAAACACATTTAACAACCACCAAAAAAAACAGTGTTATGAAGTTTGTGCTACACATCATTACCGAAACAAAAACGACCCTTTTCTATCTAGAATTGTTACTTTTGATGAAAATTGGATATTTTACGTTAACAGTAGACATTCTGGACAGTGGTTCAACATGGAAGAAGCAGCAGAACATTTTCCAAAGCCCCCAACTCAACAAAGAAAGGTGATTGTGATGGTTACTGTTTGGTGGGCTTCATTTGGTTTGATACACTACAGCTTCTTAAATCCTGGAGAAATCGTCATTTTATTTATTTATCTTCTTCCCTACCTTACGTTATAGGCTATACTGGATTTTCTTAGAACAGAGAGTGAGGGCGGAGAATTTAAAATCTCCTCCGGCACCAGGACGCGAACTCGTACTTTTTTAAATTTCATAACTTCAATTATCTGGTTGCCGGGCAACTCGCGGTGCTGTGTACACGTGTTCGTCCATTCGGCCATCCCACCCTAAAAAAAGTGGAACCAGATACCTTCAGTATTAAAGACTAGGATGCTAGCCACTACACTATGCTACACTATTAGTGCACTTCTGGAGAAATCATCAATGCTGAATCGTATTGTATCCAAATTAATGCAATGCATCAGAAATTGGCAATAATGAAGCCATCTTTAATCAGTCGGAAGAGGTCCATTTTTTTGTCTGACAACGCCTGGCCACATGTATCATGTGTGACGTCACAAAAACTGTTGGAGCTTGGATATGAAACTCTGCCACATCCGCCCTACTCTCCGAACCTCTCACCTATGGATTATCGTTTTTTTAGACTCCTGGATCACTACTTACATTACAAAAAATTTAATGGACAAAGGGAATTAGAAAACTCGTTTTTGGAATTTATTAATGCTTAAGATGGGAAATTCTATTCCGAGGTAATGGAAAAGTTGCCTACACATTGGCAGAAATGTCTTGATAGTAGTGGAGGCTATTTTGATTAAATATAACAGTTTAAATCTTTCTTTTTTCCTTTTAAACCAAAATTCTACATTATTTTCTGGACAACCCAATATTATAAGAATAATATTGAGATTTACCAATAAGCTATGATCAATGTAAACTGATTTATGAAGGGTGGGAATGTCCGCAATGACTGGCACCCCACACTTTCTCTTCTTTTATTTTATAGATGGACATCCATTATATATCCTATAAACTAATTAAGTAAAAGTTCTTAAAAATGTTAAATTTATCTTCTTATTACCTAATAAAAATTAATAGACAGGTTTTTAACAATGCTTATACATTTATTTATTCTAGGAATGTAAAAATAACTTTCCTTTTATACATTAACATCATTTCAGGGAAAATTTAAGTGTTATTCCATTGTATTTTTTTTATTGTTTTTTTTTTTATTTGTCGGCCCAAGACTTCCACTGAAGTCCTATATACTGTGGTTGTATTTTAAAGAACCTATTTATTTCATTTATTTTATTTAATGAGTATTTTATTTTTTTCAGGTCGTCTGAATACTAATGAAGATAATGAAAATTTACTTGGCTATGATTTATACAGTGCTGCTCTTGCTGATATGCTTAGTGAACCCTCCCTCTCAATGCCTATCACAGTTGGTTTATATGCTAAATGGGGTTCTGGAAAGTCATTTTTGTTAGGAAAATTAAGAGGTAATATTGTTTCTTTATTGAGTTTTAAATATGTTTTTAATGATTACCTGTATTATTTATTTAAAGAAACCATAGACTTCATGTGGTATAAAACATCAAAAATCTTCGTGATAACTAGACAAAAAATCAATTGAATGAAAATCCAATATATTATCTTTACATTGCAGTATTATATAAATAAAAAATCTGAGAGAAGAGTTAAAAGAATTTCCAGGAATTTTCTTACTCAAAAGTTCCACGATCTTCTTAGATACAAGATCCTAGATAATAACATGAAGATGCAGTGTCTCTTTCAATCTCTTGTATTTGATGGAAAAAGAGAGAACAAGTTTTTATAGACAGTAGTATATGAATGAAAAGATTATAATAGCAATTAAAAGGTCATTAAATAGCTGTACTAAAAAAATATTTTATTCTATTATTTTTCAAGTGTAGAAATTAATGTTACCACTTGCTTAAAAGAAACATTCTGATGCCAAAAAATAAAAATAATCCAAATAGAATAAGTAAATGTTGGCTTGTGTAGTTATGTCCATTGTTTGATGGATCTTATTAAGATAACTTATTATAACATAATGAGGTATTTATTTATATGACTTGAAACCAAGGTGCTGAGGAATCGGTGTTGCTTAGTACCACATATCCGAACATCAGTTACTAATATAGCTGTAATATTTTTTTCATATCTTGTACTGGGAAACCTACTAACTGATATCCAATTTTTTCTATTTAAATTTATGTTTTAATACCTATGAATCTACTCATAAAAAATAGATTTGAATGAAGATTTTATGTTTTGTTTGTTTCAAACTTTATTTTAGGACTCTTTTAACTCCTAAAAAAGTTATGCTTTTGAACTGGTTGGATCCCTATAGGGCCCCAGAAATATTTTGTAGATTTCTGCTGGTTTTATGCCTTAATTTGTCTGAACTAATTTATTTTTCATAAACAACCAAAATGTGCATTGTTAAAATACCAACTAGTAATTAGGAGATTAATTAAAAGTTATTTTGAAAAAACTTAAATTCAATTTATTTAATTCTGTTACAGAGGAAATGAAGAGCTTTGCTCGCCAGTGGACTGAACCATTGCTTCAATTTTCATGGGTTCTTTTGGTATTATTGGGTCATATTTGGGTTGTAACTGGCTTAGCTCTTGGTCTTGTTACCAAATCATGGACTGTTGGTATTCTTGTTACCATCATTCTTTGTTTGCTTTCATACATCTTTCTTATTTTGCTGTGGTATTCTAGTCAGAAGTAAGTCTGTTTTTTCTTTTTTTTTAAGTTATTTTATTTTTTATGTTTTAATATATACTACAGTCAAACATAACTATGTGATCAGGTTAGTACTTTAATGAAACTAATGTCATTTTATTTCTGTACAGATATAGTTGGGATTTTCCATACAACCTCAGTGTAAATCTTACATCTCGTATGAATGCTGTTAGATTAATTCTTCAAGTTATGTTCTGCCACCCACCAGGTGCCCAGTGGTCAGATGGTGTGGCAGCATTACCTCTAAGGTATATTAAACTTCCATAGATTTTTACATTTATTTGGTATATTAAGCAAAAGCAATGCTTCTGAATGACATAATATAATTTATTAATTCTAAATGTTTTAATCCAACCCACAGACCTCCTTGTACTTTGTTCCTCATTTCTTCACTTTCATTTATTTTTTTGTCACTTATTATAATATCCATGTTGAAAAATTATTTTTTCTTTTTAGGTTTTATTTCACTGAGCAGACAAGAGTAGGTACTACTACAGCTGGAGAAAGCTCTGTGGTGCAAATGATTGGCTCATTATATGATGCTATTGAATCAGATTATGGTGTCTTCTCTACCCGTCTATATAGAGCATTCAGGCCAAAACCAAGTAAGAAGTCATGACTCATTATTTTTTGAAGTCCTGATGTATTTTCTATACTGTTTAAAAAAAATTTTTGTTTAGAATTGAACTAAACAAAATCTGCCATTCCAATTTAAACAATTATATTGGCTGTATATTCATATTCTTTATTTTTTTATATATATCAAATACCCAGCACCTGATAGTTATGACTAAGGATGGGATTATGTGTATTTAATTTTTTTTTTTTTGTTATCCTTGTATGCACTTTTTCGGGATTTTGTTTTATCTTTTATATAATTTTAAAAGTAAATAAACCATCTTTTACTTTAAATATTTTCTAAATGTAAGGAGGATTTTTCACATCTAATATTATCATCCATATTTAGTCAACAAAAAAAAATTAAGTTTATAACAAAATCAATATTTAAAATTACACCGAACTATGTGGCTCGCCTTGAAAGTGGGAGATCTCCATTAAGTGTTGAAGTGTTGAAAAAAGTGATCAACTATTGGACAAAGCTAAGCTTAATGAGTGATGAAAGACTACCTAGACAATGCTTTTATAGGCTTAGAGCTCTAGACTCATCCATTGGAAAACCTGATCCAACTTATAACTGGGTTACCCAAGTAAAGATGATTGTGGCGGAACTTGGATGTCAGGGGCTGTTTTCTTGTGTTTTATCTCAAGGTCTGATGAGGTTCAAAGATGAAATCATGGAAAAAATAAGAAACCATCACGCATCCAAGGACATCGACAGAGTGTTAAACTCTAAATCAAACCCAAGATATAGAAAAATCTGCTCCTTTAATGTTACCAGACCAGAGGATTATCTTCAGTTCAGAGCTCTGAATTTAAACAAATTAAGAGCCGTTAGTCGTCTCAGAGTAGCAAGTAAAGATTTTATGAAAATATACTTAAAAGATGCTACTTTGACTATTAAATCCAGTGAGGTATGTGGTGCATGCAACTGCCTTGTAACTGACCCGGTAACTCATTTTCTGATCCAATGTATCAAGTTCAACGAGCCGAGAAATAAGTACTTGAAGGCATTTATCACTGAATCCAGAGAAGATGCTAGTGTGGAGGAGATACTGAAAATAGACACTACGAAAAAAATAAACCAACTGTATCATTTCATACAGGGCTGTTCATTGAACTGTTAAGTGGTAAAGTTAATCATATAACATATATTAATTCTTATTTATATTGTCATTTGTCTTATACCTCTCGAATATTTAAAAAAAAAAATAATAAAATAAAAAAATGTTTTACTAATTGTTATGTATATATATATATATATATATATATATATATATATATATATATATATATATATATATATATATATATATATCGTTTACTAATCTGTTATTATATTAGTCATACTTAATGCTGTGGACATTGTTAATGTTATGTTTGAATGCAGTACTAGACTCAAGATCTAACATTGTTAATTATACCATTATATTTATTTGTACAGGAATTTCCTTAGAAAATAAAAAAAATAGAAGAAAAGTTTTTATTGTAAAAATATTTTAAGATTTTAACAAGAAATTCAATGAATTTTGGGAGAGAAAAGCATCACACTATCCTCAGTTAGAAATTTTATCTAATTATATTTACTACGTAGATCTGAAGTTGTTTCCTAATAAATTTATTTTTTACTAACCAGAATTTATCACATTGTACATTGAGATGTCCTAATTAACTTGTTTTGTTTAATCTATGAAATGCCTAAATTCAAATCAACTTATAAAGTTCAATTGTTGAAATACAGTAGTAGCAGAGTTTATCAATGAAAATTTTCACAAATACATTAATGTGTGTTTTGGATTAGCTGTGAAAAAATTGGCAATAAGTGATTTAGGGTAACAAATATTTTTCTTTGGTGTAGAGAGGTGGGGGCCCCATCGCCCAATCTATAGACTGCAATTAGATACTTGATGCTCAAACAGTTCACTACTCTACTACATACAGCACACTAAAAACAGTCCACATTTACAGAGAAAGGTCAAATACAGTACATATCTCAGGGTCACAACCCCTTAGGTATCTGCCTTGTATATGGTGTATGTGAGGATGCTCCAAGGACAACTACTGCTGAGCAATTTGAGGTTTTAAAACATATTTTGTATTGCGAAAATTATAGTACAACATTTTAATGAAAAAAAATTGTTTAATGTCATTAAGATTTTAAACAAAATTCTATTTTGAATTAAAAAGTTACCAAGATTGAAAACCAGTTTTAATATAAAAGGTATCGAACTTTTTTAGTTTAGATAATTCCATCTTATTAATGCAAGAGATGGAAAAATTTAAACATTACTATATCAAATAAATTTATTCTAATTTTTTGGAATTACTTTTCTGAGGAATTATGTTCCAACTATTGACATTGTAGGACATTTGTTTTTAACTGTTTAAATTTTATGAACATTTTGTTCCAACTAGTGACTTGGAAAATTTTTATATTAATTTTTTTTTTTTTTTTTTTTAGTTAAGTCTACTAGCTCTTGGAGATGGAGGCGTCTATGTTGCCTTCCCAACTTCCTTATATTTGAACTATGTTTCATAGCTATCCTAGTATTGATTGGAGTAACAGTGATCTACATCGAAGAACTGTATCTTCCTGAGTAAGGATTTTGGTTTTTCTTTTTCTTTTTTTTCACTGAGCTTCTAATGCCAAAAGGCCCTGATTCGAATCGCGGCTTGTAGTAGATAAATTATTTATTATGGAAGGAGATGGTTCGGGATGGCAGTCATAAATAGGCTGAACAGTGGCAAAACTATTTTATTAAAAGACTTTTTAATAAAATAGTTTTGCCACTATTCAGCCTATTTATGACCGCCACCCTGGACCATCTCCTTCCTTTATAATGCAATGGTCAACTATTAAATATTCAATATAAATTATTTATTCTGTTTAATCAGCCGTGGATCGACTCTGGGGCACACCCAGCCTCTTTAAAGTTGGTACTCTTAATTAAATAATAATTGAAGGGAGGAAAGCTTACTGTGGAGCATCTCAGTCAAATCACCTCCTTTCACAACCGTTTACCAAGAAACAGTTTTTCCCCTGATTAGTACCAAGACCCTTCATGGGTTGTAGTTGTACAGGTTTATATTTATTTTTGTTATTGCACAGAAACTGACCAGGCCGTTTTAATACTTTCATGACAAACTGACTCTAAATTCAACCCTCTTACTCAAGCCCTATCTACTGTCACAAATCCCTATAATCTGCCAGAAAAGTGCTGAAGCGCTGGCCAAGAGACTTACTGTATTGATCTGTTTGCTATCTTATTATTGTTATGTTATATTTTTGTGTTATTATGTCATTTTATTTTAGTTTAATTTTGTAATTTACAAGTATTTTATTTTTTACTAGTTTTGTAATTCTTGTTTTTTTCTTATTATTTTCTATTATTCATATTTTTTCTGGGTTTTTGATATCATATGTATTCCATAATATCATATTTGCTCAATACCCTAGTGGATAGCAAATTTATCCTGACAGAAATATGTATCTTATAAATAAATAAAATTTTATTTTATTATTATTTATTTATGATATTTACAACTGTATTAAGACACAATATATTCAGTAAATGTGATAACAGAAATTAAAATCATGAAAACACTTGTTGAGAAACTATCCACTTGTAGTGCTCTAAAACAAAATGTATTTACATATGTATGTACAAATGTATTAATAGGAGATCATGAGATGATCTTCTTTTCAGATGCCTCGAAGGGAATAATTAAAATAAAATGATATTATTAATTATCCAAAGAATAACTAAAGTGTATAAAATAAAATAGTAGTTTGAAAGTAAATTAGTATTTAGGAATTAATTTCTGATAGTTAGAGATGGAAATACAGAAATTAGTAAGAAGAATATTAATCGTTTCATTCTAATATTTTCAAATTGTGATGTTTCATTTGATAATTGTAATAACAACATATGGGCCAGTATAGCAGAGTGGTTAACACGCTATACTAGTAAAGCAAAGATCATAGGATTGAATCTCGACCCTACTTCCCACTACGGCTGTTCCCCACACGAAGTTAGACCATAATACCCCCTTAATTAGGGGAAGCCTACCTCCACCTGCAGGCTATGTGGCCTTGAGGATGAAACGGCCTATCACATTATTTGCAGATGTGATAATTTGGCTAGACTGTGATACTTTCACTTTGGATGTGATCGTATCACTAACCCCTGCAACTGATTGATCCCATCAGTATCAATAGGTTCGCGAAGGCATCTGGCCTGTTTTAACTGAGTTTAAGACGACGCACAATAGGCCTTTTTGAGGCCACAGTGCACCTCCCCTATGTCGGAGCAAAAAAAGGGAGGCCTACAAGTTGTAAGACTTGTATGAACAGGTTTAAAAATAAATAAATAAAATAACATATTTCTGATAAGTACCATAGGAGAGCCACTGTCTTGAAATTAAATGTTGCTTAAAGCAAACAAATTAATTTTCTTTAATATATCAAATTACTTTTTAGAAATAATTGTTAAATTGGTAACAATTGATCTGTTAATTTAATTTTATGTTATAATATAAAATATAGTTATTTTTCTGTTGCAGCAATCAAGTTTCTATTGATCGAACAACTGTTAAAGTAATTTTGTCTCTTACTATTGGTTTGGTTGGAGTCAGCATCACAGCAAATATTTATACTATTGGACGAATTTTCAAATCCATTTTTCAATCTCATCGCAAACAATTGCAAAGTGCTATTGCTTCTCTTGAAACTGTAAAATCTGAAGGATTTCTACAGGCTTTAAAAAAGGAGGTGAATCTCATGACAGAAATGGTATGTTATACTTTTAAAACATTTTTGAATTACCTACTATACCAATTGATTATGATTTTTTTTTTTCTGATTCTGTAAAACTTTGCTGTAAGGCTTCCATAAATTATTTTCCATCTATAACAATTTTTTTTTTCATTCCCAGTCCCATTTGTTGGTTTCCTATGAAACTTTGTCAATATGAGATGTATTGATTTGAAGCTTTTGGTACTGTATCACTAAGAAAAAATAAATCTGTAAGAAACCACAGTCTAATTGCTCCCACAAACTAAATTCCTAGCAATGTTATGTTGTTATTAGAAAGAAATTGTTTCATGAACTGGCAACTTATTAGTTTTTACAACACACATCCAATTTTTCTCTCAGTTGCTTTAACATTCATGCTTAAAAAATAAGTTTTGGAATTCTTTTATTAAATAAAAAAATTATTTAATTAATGTATTTGATAAATCTTATTTAAATCAAAAGATTTTACCTAGTCTAAAAACGTTATTGTTTCAAAATTGTGTACCACTTAAAAATAAAAATAAAAAGTGGGGTTCGCTCATTTTTTATCATGGACCTAATAGCCAAAAAATTAAATCAGCCTTACCCAAGAACTTTGGAACATTAGTTCATCCAGAGTATACAACAAGAGAAAGTTCTCCAAGTAGCCAATTCTTTGAGAATTACAGACTTTATCTTCTCAATTTGGGCTAATTGTGATCAAACAGTATTGAAGGAGTAGAAGAGAATGAAACTGAATAAATAAAAACAACTAAGGTTTTGAATGTAATGCTGACGATTAGTATATAATTCTTTAATTTTGTTCCTAATATATAATTCTTCAAGTACTGAACTTGAAGGCGAGATACAAATAAGTTATGTTGTCACAAGCATATGTGAAAAAATAATTACTTTAAACCACTTCCATCATCAATGCAGATTACAATGCTCTTTTTATTTGTAGATTAATAAATTATGAAAATTCATTTTAAAAGTTTGTTTTTTTCAATTTCTTGATATAGCATTATTTTTTTCTGGGCCCCAAGAAAATGTTATAACAAAGTTTTATTCTATTTATTTTAATTTTCTAATTAGTTTTTTTTTTTTTTTTTTGTTGATACTATTAAATTTTTTAGGTTAAATGCTTAGATGCTTTTACTGGGCAACAAACAAGGCTAGTGGTAATTGTAGATGGTTTGGATAGCTGTGAACAAGATAAAGTACTCTTGATTTTAGATGCAGTCCATGTTTTATTTTCTGGTACCAATAATATTCCTTTTATCATCATTCTTGCTATTGATCCACATATTATTTCCAAGGTAAGTTAATTTACTTATTTTGTTATGAAAGTAAAATTAGTCTTTCTTTACTTGTGTGTGTATGTATGTGTGTTATAGGAGAAAAGGGGGGCAATAGAGCATATGGTCTGGTAGTGCTTGAAAAACATTTAAACTCTCAAATAAATCAAGTGTAATTCTGAAATAAGGAAATTTACCTGGTGACTTGAATTACATTAAAATAATTTATTATAATATGGTGAACAGTAATATTGGTATAATTCATAGAATAGAGAGGGAGAACCTTTTTATCCTTAGTAGCCAAACATAAGTTAGGTTTATTATTTAAAGATAACTGAGTAGCTACGTAATGACTAATTATTTAAATAAAATTTTAGTTATGAAGAAGTAATTGCTACTAAAGTACAAAATTATAATGGTGTAATAAAACTACTTTCAAAGAAATCTTTGGGTTCTTCAATTTACTTGAAGCTATGTTGAAGAAGTGAATCCTCATGCAATTTATTATTCTTAAGGGACATTCATCCCTGATAAATAAATATAATTAAAATTGAGGTGGTTCTGTATGGTTAGTAGGAGTATGTAAAAATTATGTGATATAATTTATCAAATAACATATCTAGGAACCAGTATGCAAATGATTGATTTACTAACACCAAGCTAAAACTTTTTTGATATCTTTATAATACCAAGTCCTTCATAGCTTTATTTAATAAGTAAATTAAAGATTAAATATGTACTGCTGCACTTAGCTCTAAATTTATGTAAATATGTTAGGAATGTAAAAATCCAATTTATAAAGCTATGAGTCTCGAACATAAAGGTGAATAGTTAACATTTCGCCAATTCTGGCATCATCTGGACAGAAATAATCCCACCTCACAAAAATCTTTTGACTAAGATTAGGTCAGTGGATTGAATTCATGAACTAGACTAATTTTTATTCTTCTCTAGGAAAATTGAAATTCTTTAGAGGTAAACAATTATATTACAATAATACAGCTTAGCAAGCTGTTTTTCCAACCTTCGAAGACATTCTTATTGTGCATTGTATTGTTAAGTGCTGGGATACATATATTATTTCAACTGTAATTGTAGACATTAAATATTCCCACTTACGATTACTTAGTTATGGGGAGGATGACTATTTTTTCCACCTGAAGGTGAAGATAATTTTCAATATAATGGCTCTATCATTGGATTTGATGAGGAATTAACAAAGATTGGTGTGCAACAAAAAAAAAAAAACCTTTGAGAAATAATATATAATAGATATTTTAATTTTTATATGATTAGGAATTCATGGCAATCATGAAATCAAGATTCACTCTCACTAGTATAAGGTTGGGTCCATGCATTATCTCGAAAATGATACATTTCAGATTTTCAAGCACAGAGTCCATTATAGTTTTATAAAACTATACTGGGCCATGTAGTCTGCATCAAAATATTTAAAAGACAATTTATCCCATCTCGATCCATCAATGATAACTCCTAATTTTTTTATAAATTATATTGTAGGTTTAGTAAGATTTTAAGTTTCCAAATTATGATTTATCACTTCTCCATGAAATTCTCTTTCATTTGAAACCCATCCCTCCTCAAGAGCTGGAAAATGAATCTATGAATTATAAAATTTACTGAAGTATCGATAATACCTAGTTCTGCCATAAATACTGTTACAAAAGTTGAACTTTGTTTACATCCTTGGATATTATTTAGATAATCCTTATCTCTATCAGGTTATTTTCTTTATATTTCAGGATAATAATCCCAATTAGTTTGTATTTTTCTTTCGCTCAGTTAACATGGGGTGGGGTGATAAAGAAAATCAAATAGCTGTGATCACCTTACAAAAAATTGGAAAATGTAGGTCAGATTTTCAGCACTTTGAAACCTTTGGATATGAGCCATATGTTCGTGTACCGCACTATAAATAGATATAATGAGTCCCTATCTATATGTGACAGACCTCGACTAGGCCGTCTCTGCACTGTGAGAACGGCAAATGCAGTGAGAGCAGTGGCTGCTCGAATCAGAAAAAAATCCCATTCAAAAACAACAAATCATGTCTCAGGAAATGGGAAACTCTGTCAGATCAATGTCTCGCCTAATAAACAGTGACCTTAGCATGGGTGCATTTCGAAGAATGACAGGCTAAAGGTTAACCACTTCCATAAAAAAAAATTGAAGTGGAAAGATGCAAAATGCTCCTTGGTCGTTACACCAATGGTCTTCATCAAAAGATTTTGTTTAGCGATGAGAAAATTTTTACAATTGAAGAAAAATTTAATCGCCAAAATGATCGTGTGTATGCACACAGCTTTAAATAAGCATAGGAAGTCATTGGAAGAGTGGAAAAAAGTCATCACCCTTCCTCAGTGATGTTATGGTGGGGATCTTGCTTTGATGGCACCACAAAGTTCCATTTTTTGAAAAAGAAAAAAAAGAGTTAAAACAGCCTCTAAAAATTATCAGAGTGATATTTTGCAACCTTCAAGGCTCTAAATTGAAAAAAGACTCTGTTTGCTGGAAGCCATTGGATTTTCCAGCAGGATTCCACTCCAGCTCACAAGGCTAGGTCAACTCAGCAGTGGCTGCAAAAAAACATTCCAGAGTTCATCTCTGCCTCGGATTGGCTCTCAGGAAGCCCTGATCTCAACCCACTAGATTATAGGCTTTGATCCGAACTGCAGAGGATGGCATGCCACTCTTACTCTCTATAGATATAAATGTTAATTTTTCTTCATTTATTCATGGCAGGACTAGGTAATGTATGATGACAAGAGTGTAAATAAACAATAAAACTATTTGTGAGACTTGGTATCATGATGCTCTCCAAAAACTTTTTGCTTTCTAATAATTCAATGTTTTGCAAGCTAGTTCCCCTGAACATACCAATAATTAAAATTTTATGTTGTTTCATTCTTTTAAATTTTAAAAACATGGATTTTATTGTGTAAATAAATTTATTTTTACCTAATCATTTGAAGTGAGGTATAGAATATTTATTATTTATGCTCTCACTAGGTGGCATGGGAACAGGTCAGTTTTGGGATATATCCATAACTGTTGTTGCATGTATTTGTTTTGTGATAACATGTTACTGTTATAGTTTTTATTTTATAGTCGTAGCTATCTTGTATTATATACTTGTCCTTTTTTAATAGGGGTGGGCAAAATGGGTCAATGAGGCTAAAAATAACCATTTCTTATTTTCCTCCTGCAAAAACTAGAATCCATTTCAGTTACATACTTTACAGTTACATACAAAAATCTTTATTACTTTGATTGAAACAAAATACTTAAATAAAAAAACTTAAAAGTCTTACTTAGCATAGTTCAGTAAAACCTTGTTTGTCTTGTATTCTTCAATTTTTTATTTATTTTTTCTATTTACTGGCCTAGTAAAAAAGGGCCAATTTATATTGTAACAAAAACTTGTGGAAGTTGTAATAGTAATTTATTTTCACTTTTTTTCATGGTCTTCGGAAGAAATTTACTGGAATGAATTTAACAATTTTCTTCTGAATTGTTTATGAATAATGGATTAAGGATATATATAAGTCATGAGGTTATCATTACCTGTACATTTGGACTTCATATTTTAAGATTTGTATTTGACCCTCTTTATTCCGCTTGTTATTCTATTTTCCTTCATTGTCATTCATAAAAATCATTGCCCATCCCTTTGATATAGCATGTGCAATGCTGTGAAATATTGTCTGTATTTAGTCTATAGTAAATATTTTTCTCTTTTCAGTGTGATATAAAATTGAAATGACCTTTTTGTTATAATTTATTCCTTTACCAATTTATATATCTTTAAGCAAGTGAAACAATGATTATTTTCATTCCTAAAAACTTTTGTATGTTTATGTAGTCATGTGGAAGCATGGTAGTCATTTTACTACATATATTCTGTTATAAATTTAGTAAGTTTAATTAGACTTAAACAAAAACAAAAATTAAAATTAATAATGGTATAAGACATTTTACTCCACAAATTGGTACATTAAAATGTCTTTACAACTAAAATATACCATTCTGACTCATATTTTTGAATAACATTTTGTTAATTCATGTAGAACTGACACGCTAACTAGAATTTCATTTGTATTGTACAATACAGAGACAGTTTTGAGGATTTTTTTTAGACATTATTATATGATATCTATTTGACATTATAATATGATATACAACTAGGTATTCTGGATGTGAAAATAGCTATAAAATGACTTGAAACAAAAAATAGGGATGGACAACCTACTATCAGGACTGTTTAAAGATGAGGGAGATGACTTAAGAGCCAACTTCCTACAACTAATCCAGAAAATTTGGTAAGAGGGAAGACATCAGAGGCTTGAAATACTGGCCTAATCTGTCCTTTACTAAAGGAATTCTTCATGCATGAGTATAATAATTATAGAGGCATAGCATTCCTTCCGATTGCCAACAAGATAATGACCAATATACTTCTAAACTGGATATATTCGTATTAAGAAAATATAATAGGCGCACACTGAGCTGGATTCAGAAGAGGAAGGAGCATGCTAGAACAGATCATCATCCTAAAATAAGTACTCATAAAACAATGGGAAAGATGTCCATACCTTATTTATGAATTTCAAAGCAGCCTATGATTCTGTGGACAGGAACCGCCTTTGGAAAATCATTACTGAACTGAATGTTCCTGGGAAGTTGGTGAGAGATAAGGAGAAGTTTGAACTGGCTTATGGCAGAGAGATGGACTCTCATTGATGTTCAACTTATCATTGGAGAAGATGATAAGGACATCACATGAAAATGGAGGGATGCATGTCAGAATGAATTCTAAAATCCTTGGATATGCTGATGATATGGGTGTCCTTGGAAGCAATCAAGAGGACATTAAGAAATTTGCTAAGATTCTTTTAAAAGAAGCAGAGTAAATTGACCTAAAAGTAAATGAAGATAAAACAAAATATATAATAATGACCTGAAAATGTTATCCCAATATCATGATCTGTGTACAAAAAAAATTGTTCCCTAGTAGACAAATTGAAATATCTCACTTCCACAATAATCTCAATGTATGACCAATGGTCGGAAACTCTTTTAAAGGTATTGAAATCCTGAAAAATCTCAAATTTAGGATGTACGATACTAAAATGTATCCAATTTCTAATATACAGCTGAGAGACCTGGACACTAACCATTACCCAAGAAAAAAGAATCGAAAGATTTGAGAGATTATAACCAGAGTGATAACAAGAGACCGATAAAGAGCTGCTTACAGAAACTGGTCAATCAATATCTATGATATGAAGGCAAGGAGTTTAAGATGGTTAGAGTATGTAGTTTAAAGCAATCGATCTGGAAACCTCAGCACAACAACGAATGCCTCAATAGTTGGCAAAATACCGCGTAGAAGGCCAAAAAGCAGATGGATAGATCGAATCAACAAAAATGCAATAAAATTGTAAGCAGATAACAGGATAAAAATAACCCACGATAAGGCATGTTAAGGGGGCAAAAGATCAAAGTATGTAATGCAAACAGGAAAAAAAATTATGTCTTAAATAAAACTCAATATCTTACATTTTAAATCTTAAATTTTTTTAATGATTATTCAATGAAAAAAAAATGTATTCTTCATTAGAAAGTTATCTTATTATTAAAGAACAACTATGTGGCCTAAGCTTAAGTGGTGGATTGATGGGAAGCTCCCAGAGAATCAGCTAGCTAATACATGTACGCCATATAAAAAATGGCAGAATACTACAAAAAAAAATCCAGAAAAAAAATATATTATAAGAGATGTCTATGTAAACATTGGCTTGATGACATAGAATATGACCTCAAAAATAATGGGAATAACAGACTGGAGAACAAAGGGGTAAGGTGGCCGAGTGGGCTAACTGCCTGTGCACCTGTGCACAGCCGTCTTTCCTGGCAACCTAATAAAAGATAATTTGATAAAATAATTAAAAGTTCACGTGCAGGTGCTGGCTTTTAATGGGTGGTGGGCTTTTAACTCTGACATTGATCCTCTGCCTTCAATCCTCCCCCTTCCATCCCCTCTCTCCCCTCCCCCCTCCAGGAGAAAACCTCATATAGCCTAAAAGGCGAGGAAGGGGAGGGAAAAAAAAAAGGCGAGAATGAAAACTCTTTATCGCCCAATACTGGTGGAGAATCATGAGGGAGGCCAAGGCCTATATATATATAAACAAAGAATTGTAGTGGATAGTAAAACTGGATTTATTTCGTTTTTTAGTGATTTGTGGACTTATTCCATTTGAATTCATGTAAATAAAAAACTAACAACAATTATTTTTAGACTTGTAATGTATAAACTACTATCCATTTATTTAATAGGGCTTATTATTTTGTTCATAAGTGCTAACTTTTTAAAAATGTTTATTTAAACTGTAATTTCTTTTCTGTTCATTGTTGGATATTAAATTTAATTTTCCTAATAGGCCGTCGAAGTGAATAGTCGCAGGCTCCTGAGTGAATCTAATATTGGTGGTCATGATTTTCTTAGAAATTTGGTACATCTTCCATTTTATCTTCAGAATTCAGGTCTCCGTAAAGTGAAAACTGCCCAGAAAGCTGCGATGAGAAAGGGTTTTGATGTGTCATCCACAGACCTGACTGTTGTGCAGGTACTTATGTTATTGCACTTTGTTTATGCGCATAGGTATGTAATGCTAATATTTTCTCTCTATCGTGTCACAAATAAATGAAATATGTATGGATATATTGGATTGGCAAATAAGTCTTTTGGGTTTTCTGTTTATTTTTATGTCACTATGATACACTTCTTATCTGATGAATTAAGGTGGATTGTTTATCCTGTTTGTAATATGTCAAAAACTATATCTGTTAATTCTTGTTGAAAATAGCTTAGTATTGTGTTTGCTATTGCACTGTGAATATGGAAGAAAATATCATTCATTATCGACATATTTTGTTATATTATTTTTAAAAAGATAAGCATGCTGCAGAAGCTCATAGAAAACTTTGCAGTGTTTATGGGGATAATGCCTTAACCAAACACACCTGAAATTGGTTTGCCAAATTTTATTCAGGAAATGATTCTCTACGGCAACGACCCATTTTTGAAAAGGTTGGTAACAGGAGGTGAAAAATAGATATTTTATGACAATGTAGTCCATAGAAATCTTAAAGACGTAGTAGTGAGGCTCCTAGAAAAATAAACGTTCAGAACTGGCAAATCAAGAGGGTGTTGTGTTTCACTAAGACAATGCTAGGCCCCACATCTCATTGGTCACTCCCAATAAATTATTGATCCTTGAATGGGATCTTTTTCCCCATCCTTCACCAGACCTAGCTCCAAGTGAGTACCACTTATTCTGGTCTCTGCAGAACTGCATGAATGGAAAGAAATTCCAAAGGAAGAGGGCATTAAAAACCACTTGGATCAATTTTTTAATAAGAAACTCTAGACATTCTATGAACAAGGTATTATGCAGTTAGTGGAAGGATGGGAAAAAGTCATATTAAATAATGGTCAATATATTGTAGATTAAAATAAATTTTATGTCTATAGTATATTGAGTTTTATTTCACCCTGAAAACCGAAAGGACTTATTTGCCAACCCAATAAATAGATGATTAACAATGAATCATGATATTGTTGATGATATATTTCAATAATTGGAGATATTTAAGTGTAAAAATATATAATTGGTAATAAACATTAGTATCTAGTAACAGTTACTTAGTAACTAGTAATAGAAATAAGAGAGTTGATAAAAAGAAGAGATGCTGCAAGGAGGCGTTTAAGACGAACACGTAATCCGGGTGACTACTTCTCTTTTAAGACTCTTCGAAACCTTACCGAATCTTCCTTGTGATGTACTAAGGCACAATTCTTTCATACTTCCTTATCACAAGCCTCAGATCCTAAGTCCAGAGGGAAAATCCTTAAAAAAAACCTCTCCGTGGTAAAATCAAAAACCTCCACCTCCTGCCCTGTTTCTTCAGATCAACTGGACTCCCACTTTGCCGATCCTGACTCATTACCACTTTTCTCCTCATATTGTATTCCTAAAGCTTCCTTTGATCTTAAAAATTTCTATTTTACCAGAAGACCTAATTGCCAGTAAAGTTAATTAAATTATGTCTTCCTGACATCTTTCCTGTATTACAATTACAATTCGCTCTCTCCAACTCTTTTCTCCATCTATATTAATGACGTTGATTCCATCCATCACTCACAATACTATTTAAATGCTGACGATCTCCAAATCTACCTTTCCTTCCACCCTACCGAAATGCTTGAGGCGATCCGAAGGCTACAAGAAGATATTGACTGTATTAATACTTTGGCAGCAAACAATGATTTAAATTAAATGTTTAGAAGACCAAACCTCATTTCTTATTATTCTCTACTCTACCTCAATGGGACACCCATTCCACACTTCTGTAAAAAACCTTAGGGTAATGTTTGATCAACATCTGTCATAGAATAATCAAATTTTCTAAATTATCCAAAAGCCCATAGCTACCCTCAAATAGTTCCTGGGATTCCATGACTCTATGCCCCTTAAAATCCGTCAGCTCCTAGTTTCCTCTCTCTCATTTTCTCTCACTTCGATTATAGCTGCCTTTTATACGGTAGACTGTCTGGTGGGGTTGAGATCAAATTAAAGAGACTAATGAATTGTTTCATTAGATTTATCCTTGGAGTCCCTAGGCACTCCAACATCTCCAGTTGCTATGCCGAATTGAAGTGGCTCTATCCAGTTTTCCGATGGCAATATTTCCTAGGTGTATTCCTTCACAACCAAACAATTTTTTTACCTTTTTGATTTCTTTACTCCTCGTTCCTCTAATTTGTTTATTCCTTCTCATAGAACTGTTTCCTTTAAAAAATCCTTCGTCATACATGCTACCTCGTTTTGGAATTTCCTATAAACTTTTATACGAAAATCCTCTTCCTTGACCTCATTTATACACAATTTATTTTTCCATCCTCAGTAATCAATCTTCCGAATATATGTAAAAATAAAGTTATTTTGTACTTTAGAGATATCAGCTACATTATACCGATATCTTGTAGATATCTATGTATGTGCCATATTGCTTATTTGTAAAAATATTTGAACTTATTCGTATGTATTCATCTTTAAATTCATATGTCTCCTCCAAGATCATATATTTACTACAGTGTCTTTTCTTTATTTTAATATTAAGGTTAGACAACTTGTAAATTAATTTGTTTTTAATAGTCATTTAATTATTCAAAATCGCTAGACAATTGTCATATCTTTGTTCATTGTAGTTATTCTGAGGGGACTAAATGTCCCTTATAAATAAAATTCACTTTATTTCTTTAGTATCTATGAAAGCCATGTACATCACAATTTATCTAAGAATAAAAAAGTTTCATTTTACATTTATTTAATATATTAATTAATTTATTTAAAGACAAGGAGAAGTTCAAATGATGTCTCTCAAGGAGCTGAAAAACTCAAAGTACCTGCAGGGGGTAGTGGAAGTAGAAAATTGTCAAGAAAACTCAAAATGAGTGAAAGCATTGCCTCTTCACTCGGTTCCAACTTAAATAGAGCTGGTGGTCCACAAGATCTTACAAAAATGCTGCTTACTGATGACTATTTTTCAGATGTCAACCCCAGATCTATGAGGAGGCTTATGAATGTTGTTTATGTAACAGGTGAGCCTTGAAATAATTGAACTTTATTTAATGGTGAAGGTGGAGAAATAGTTGACTGTAGAGAGTATGGATGAGATATTAGTTTCACCTTGAATAAAAAAACTATTGTGTGTGCTTAAGACCACACAATAGAAGTGAAAACATCAAGGCGGAATTAAAAATATGAAATATAAATTTTTTTTTTGTCCTATATTCACAAAATGTCAAGTAAAAACATTTACAATATATACAATTATAATTGTGTATACACTTTTTTTTGTTCTATATTCACAAATTAATAACATTTACAATATATACAATTATAATTATGTAAAAATTACTCTGGTAAACTTTACTGTGAATGATTATTTGTATCATACTCTAATAATGAAACAAAAGATTTATGTGATGATTACTATAATATGTGATGATCACATATTTTCATTATTTTAGTATGATTTATCATATTTTATATGACAATATTTAGTATTAAATTTGTCATGATTTGGTTTTTGACTCTATATTTTTCCTTTTTTGCTTCTCAAACACGGTAAAATACAGAACATTTCCCTCGTTTGCAGTATGTACTTAAATGCAACAATTAGTCGACGCTAGCCAACTAAACCGAATGTGCATTATATAGGCGAGTGTGCACTCTACAACAACCCCTTTGTTGACTGGACTTTTATGTTTCATTTTTTTCATGAGCTGTACAGCACCTACTTCACTTCTATATTTTATTTACTTGTGATCTCATCGTTTCTTCATCTTGAATTCGATATTTCTGAAAACCTTTACATATATATCTAAATAACATATTTAAAAAAAAAAATCTAATGTAATGTGTTTTGAGATGTTAAAATTCAACATTTTGAAAAAAGTAAAAAAAAAAAATCTTGTTTTGAGATTGTCATGTTACATACTAAATAAAAGACAATACAGTAAGTTTCAAAATTATTTGTCAAACTTCCTCTTGAACCACCAGCTGTTAATCTATGTGCATTTTTGTGATAGAAAAAATATTGAAATTTGGCTGTCTCCACAACATTTAAAGATCTATATTTAATAAGACTATTTGAGAAAAAATAAATAAATAAATTTGTAATTGTATTTAGTTGGAATAACTGATATATAAAAAAAACATGTAAATTGGCAACTTGCAGAAGGTCTCTGGTGATTTGGAATGATCCTAATCTATTTTTCACAGTCAAATCAATACTGAAAATTCATACAAGTACTCTATTCCCATTTTTGGTTTATTATTTTCAATAATGAACCACTGTAATCGCCCAAAAAATTCAAAAACTTAACCCCCCTCAAAATTTGAGATTTTATGTTTTGGAATATGTAGAACTCAAAATCGAATTAAAAAAAAATTGTCCTTCCGTCGTCCGCCTACGCCTTCCACCATTCGAGCATTTTCTCTGAGACTCCGGGACCGATTTTTTCGAAATTTGGAATGAAAGTCAGAGTTCACCTGAGGATGATCCATTACTATCTGCCCTTTTTTTTTATTGTTGCACATGTTATATTATGTAATAAAGAAGAATCAATAATTCTGTTCTTATCTATACATAATCAGCATCAATGTGTATATGTCATATATATTGCATCATTTTAAAGTCATACAAGTTTTTAATTGTATGTTCCAACCAATTAATATGTATCATATTTTTAAAAAATATAAATTATAATAAATATTTTTTATTACTGAACTTACTAAAAAAAAAAAGAAAAAAAAAGCAGTTTACTTAAAAGTGTAGCTTGACTAGAATCCAAAGCGTATAATTCCATTTAATGTTCTTTATTGATAAATAAGCTAGAAATGTTGAACAGACAAAATCATCTGTAATCAGTTTCACGAAGATTAAATTAATATCCAAATTTATTTTAATATGTTAGTATAACTGTAAATAAACAAAAATATTGAACTGTTATAAATTCTTTGTTATTTTCTTCTGTCATAAAATTTTATATTGTATTATACAGGTAGGTTACTGAAAGCCTTCCAAATGGATTTCAATTGGTATCATCTTGCAAGTTGGATAAATATTACTGAGCAGTGGCCGTACAGAACTTCTTGGATTATCCATTACACAGAATCGGCTGAAGAACCAGTAGATGATGGAGTATCTCTTAAAGTCCTTTATGACAAGTAATCCATACTTTTATTATTTTTTTTAACTGCTTCCTGAAAACTGTAATTTACTTTTAAAACTAATATACCATAGGACTTAAATATAATTCTTGTTTAGTCAAAATGTTACTCATTAAAAAGATTCAAAATGATTAGGGAAAGAAATACACAGTGAGTATTGTGCTGCTTTAATGTGTGCCAACAATTGATAAACAAAAAGAAGATTGGGGTGGATGATGATCTATTGATGTTTTAATAAATTAAAACTTAATATTGAACAGGTTTGTGTAAGATTTGTTTGTTAGTTTTATAATTTATTAGGGTTGTATTCCGGATGAATATAAATGGAACAGAAAGAAGTATTTTGTCGTAGTCAAGGATAGGGGTTTCTTATGAAGTATCAAAATCAAAAGAGTGATTTAAAAATTAGTGAATGTTTATAAAGTTTAGGAGCACAATATATTAAAGGAAATAAAATATTTATGTTGGGTTTTGTGATATTGATTACCACAATGGTCATCAATTTCTCCATCATTAAAAAAAACAATCGATAATGGAATCAATGATTGGTTGTTCTATTGGCTACAAACTGGTTACTATTCCAATAAAAATATCAAAATTGTAAGCAACTTACTTGAACATCTTAAGGATTTGTAATGGAATGTGCAGGACCTGTATACAGTTTTGAGAACCTGACCTCCAACCTTATTCAGTGGCGAATCCAGGAATTTTCTCAGGGGGGTACTTCCCTCACTCCTTACTTGAGTTTTGCCGCTCAAAAGTCCTCTTTAAATGGTTTTAACAAAAGCAAACTCTATTTTTATTTTTATTAAATTTTGTCTAGTTTACAGTGAAGCAATTGTTAATAACTTAAATTAAATTATTTTTTTGTTATTACTTCCAATTCAACAAAAAACGTGGCTTACTTGAAAAATCACAAAACATTAATTCCCTACTTTCCTACTGAAAATCGAACCATTGTTTATATAAACTTATTTGTATTTATTGAGTTTGGCTTTCACTCCTTTAAATATTTCCCTCTACTTACGCGATATCCTGCATATGGGTTTAGACATGTAAAAAACTGAATTTCTGACATGGATCACCAAGAGAAAACTTTTGCAGCCAATAATCCAGATTTATCTGATCTTTTTTTTTTTCATGTATTACTACTAAACAGTGCATCAAAGCAAAAAAAAAATATTCTTTTAGAAATTAAAGAATGTCAAATTGTACGTCGAATGAGTACCTAAACTTAATAATTTAATTAAGTGATATGATCGATAACCACGGTCAATGAATGGTAATTTTTACCGACATGGTCAAAATCTGAAAAAGATTACAATAAATGGCCCTACAGTTAGGAAATGAATTCTCCAAGAACAAAAACTCAGAATAATTTCTGATTCCGATCAAATCGAAGACCAAATAATTAGTATCTTGCCTCATGAAAACGTTCCCAACAGCAGCTATTTTAAGAAAAGAACAACACTTTCTAATGAGAAACGTAAAGTGACCAATATTATGCATCTTATGGATTCTTCAAGGAGACTATAGTTGCTTGAGGCTGCAATGTATTCAGATCTGTTGGAACTGAATAAAAACTGGGTCCAGAAGAAAACCCATATTTTCTTGTGCTCGAATAAAAAGTTGTTCGAAAGAATAAATGAAGTTCATATTTTTTTAAATAAATTTTTCTCCATGTCTTTCACCTGCGAGATGTATTTCAGTTCGGAGTCAATAGGAACAAACTGCGACAGGAACACAAGCCTTCGCATCTCACGGCGACCCAAAAGCTACATCACTGTTTTCATTGATAGTTGCTTTTTGGAACTTTTTTGGAATTTTTTGTCCACCAACCAGGGAGAGGGTCGCTTCCTTGCAGAATTCGCTAGTGCTCGTCACGATAATATCTTTTTTTTATATATATTACACTGGAAAATTCTTCTATGAGGATGAATTTTTCATATATTTCTCTTTTCTTTAAACAGATGCTTAAAATATTAGTTTTGGAAAGAAATGTCCTTCGGAGGATATTTGGCCCGGTTAAGGAAAATGGTGAATAGAGAATTAAACCCAACAAAGAACTAGCTAATGTATACAAGGAGCCAAATGTGGTGAAATATATCCGGATAGCAAGGCTGAGATCGAATGGCCAAGTTGTACGGCTGGATGAGATCTCAATCCCAAAGAAGCTGCTGATCATGGAGCTGGTTGGAAAAAGAAAAGTGGACAGACCGAAATTGAGATTCAAAATGGCGTAAGTGCTGATGCCAGGAACTGGTGGAGACTGCTCAGGACAGGGAACATGGAGGAAAACTCAAGCCAAGATCCAATAATGCAGTTTCAAGCTTAGGATGATGATATTGATCACATTAGAATATTCGTCTTAGAGGATGATTTTTCCTATATTTCTCTCTTTTTTAAATAGCTGTTTCTTTGATACTTTTTTCGGAATTATTGTTCTACCATCTAGAGAGGAATGTGCCCTTGCAGAAATTACTAGTGCTGGTCACGATAATAATTTTTTTATATCACAGAAAATTCGTCTCTGAGGATGAATTTTCTCTATGTTCCCCTTCTCTTTATATAGCTGCTTTTTGGAATTTTTTTCAAACTCCTTGGAGGGGGAGAGGGGAGGCACGCGCCTCCCGGCTGGATCTGCTAGTGACCTTATTGATCATTTCTCTCCATCAAATAAGTACATTACATACAAAGTGATGAGCAGAACTACTAAAAAACCATTTCTATATTGTAATCTTGAAAACTATATTCAATTGTTGAAGCTTTATAATTTTATATCTAGATGTTACTAAAGTTAATAAAGAAGTATAATGCTCCATTATTAACAATAATTAATAGTCTACACTGGTTGCCGGATATATACTTCATCTTCACAGATTTGATAAGTACCTTTAGGAGATGTTATACCATTGAAAGCTGAAGCGACTCATCTCATTTATAGAGAACATTTATAATTATGAATGCTTTGAAAATTAGCCAATTCAAACGGATGCTTGTATTTATTTTACCACGTCTGTTTTTGAGATATTGAGGAATATTATTCACTGGTTATCTTTCTCATTTAATATGATGAAAGTGGATAACAAAAAAACAAAACACTGTTATTAACATAAGAAGAACAGTGGTATTCTATCATCTCTAATGCCAAGCGGTGCAAAATGCAGAAGCATAAAATTGTTTTCTCTGACTAACTGATATGTAACTAAAAAACTAATTCATTTTATTATATAATTAATTTGTAGAGGATATCTTTATTTTTCAGTTAAAGTTATTAAATGTCATTCAATAAGTTTGATGATTATCTAATTTTACCTTCTTTCTATTCTTGAAGAATTAGAGAAGAAATACCTATATCAAAAGAAATGGAACCTCTCCTTGATCTTGATCGAGATGAAAGAAAACTTGATGTATTTTTAGCATACCACAGATCTTCATTGTTGGTCGCAGATCTTAGAATATTTTTGCCATTTACAATCAACCTTGACCCATACATCAAAAAAGTCATTAAAGGTATATTTGTTATTGAATACATGGAATTTTTATTTAATGAACAATTAGATATTTTAAGGACCAAAAATATTAGTTCAAACTGTTTACAAATGTTGTTACTGATTATGTATGTTCACATTGATTGACTTCAGCTTCTGTTTCTTAAATACTAAATGAAATACTTTCATAATTGGTAATTGATTCATTTACTGTTTTTATTGAGGTAGTTATTCTGTTTTATTATAGATTGAATGTTTGAATTTATTTATTTTTTGCTAATTGTATTATGTGAATACTAAGATCTAAATTTTATATTTCCTTTTGGAATTGATCTCTTATACTTTCTGTTATATTTGATTATCTTTGCAATATTAAAAAAAGTATATGCTAAATCATAGAAAAGCAAGAATATTTTTTCAAAGATATTATGTTATTATAGAATATAAATTAAAACTTTTGATTTTTTAATAGAAAATTAAACCAATAAGGTAATAAAGATATTAGTTTTTTATTTAATATTTTTTCAACTGATTAGTTACAATTCAATACATTGACAACCAGATTGTAAATCTGTAAGTACAATTTTATTAAATAGTGTGATTTTGAGCTTTCTTGGTCAATTTTAGCCTCAAGCATATTCATAAATGTAAACCAAAAATATTATTTAAAAAAGTCATATCTTTGTCTTTACCATGAAGTAAAGATCTGACTGAAAATCCAGTTTATATATAATGAATCACACGGTTTAGCTCATCTTACAAATAATTTTAGTTTTTGCACTTACTGTGCTGCTGTCGATATACTCTGTTGGATGATGGATTATTTTTCATTTTACTTTAAAATTAATGATATTTTATTCTTTTCACTTTTTTTTTCAGATGAAAAGCAGAATGCAGAGGAAACTCTGGCCATGACTGGCTTTGGTATGACTAGGATTCCTGCTGTTCCTGCTGGGTGGGATGGTTGGGCAACACCTAGCCCTGCCCCCAGAACAGCAACTTCATTGAGGAAGCAGGTAATTTACATTTTTACTTTTTACGATATGAATATATGAAATATATGATAAAGGAAAGTATTGCGATCGTGAAAATTTTCAAATCTCAGTTTTCTACGGAAATACGCGTTTTGAGGTCCCCTGAGTCTAAATAACAGAGTCTCACAAAATCGTCTGTGTGTGTGTGTGTGTGTGGTAACAGTCCAGCTCAAAAATGAAAAGTTGTACGATAGTGAAATTGCATATTTAACGTTTTTTATAAGTTTGGGATGTTACAGCAACTTTTTCATCAAAATCGGCTTACCTGAAGTGGCACTTTATATCATAAACTCATTTTTACGATTACAGTAAATACATTTAAATCTCGAAAATGACTAACGATTTTGATTAAATTCATTAAATGAGTGTAAAATTAAGCAGTTTTTAGTAAAATGTAGTTTTTATTCTGATCGGTGTTCTCTAACAGGGCTTAAATGGCTAATTTTCAATAGTATCCATCTTCCCCTAAAGTACCTTTAATTTTTTTTATTTGAAACAATTGACTATTTCACACTAATCGCTAATATAAAAGATACTTAAATATAAAATATGGAAGAATTTGATTATTAACTGAAGGAGTAATGAGAAAAAGTAACGGAGAATGGTTATAATTGAGGAACCGAAGGAATACCTGAGCTCATCCGAAACATTAGAACACGCTTCCATACGTAATATGGGCTTAATATAATACGGATTCCGAAAATTTTATGTAAATATGCATATGCTGTTTTCATAAATGTTATTGTTGGTATTATTTAATATTTAATTGTATAGATTACAGCGATATAAATATTAAAATTTGTATATATGAGGGTACTTATACAAATAAAAATAAAATACCTACAATGAAATATAAATAAATATAGCATCTATAGTTTTTACTTTCACTTCCCCTTTGTCTGAAAATACGTATTTCTGCTAAGAAGAGGGTAAGTGAAAGTTGTGTGATGAGGGCACTGCACCAGATTTTTTTATCTCATCATTCTAAATGCTTATTCTCATTCTTCCTCACCTAAGCTCCATTTATAAGAATCACTTCCCTTAACTTAGTGGCATATGTACTGTAATGTGATATTTATATAAATTTGTAATATAAAAATATGAATTTACAACTAAATTTATTTACCTATCTGTGTTAAATTGATAGAGCTTGATCAATTGTATGTGGCTTGAATTTTTTCAGAGATCTCTTGTTCGAGAGGGATCTATTGATTCAGACAAACTAAGAAGTTTTTATCCTCTAAGAAGTTCTCAAATTGTGACTCCACCACCCCCACAGCCTTGGCCTCAGGCTCCTTGGATGACACCAGCACCGATGGTTGCACCACAACCCATCGTCTCACAGCCTGTTCAGCCACAGCCTCCAATACAGTTGCCAGTGAGTCCTGTTTTTATAATGAAAACATTCATTTTTAAACCCTCATGTTAATTAGCAATTGACAAATAATTTAAAATCTTAATTTTAGATGGAGCTAAATGATTTAAAACTAAGTTCTTTGAATGTGAATGGTGTATGCCAGCTCCTTTCCAAAGTTCCTGATATCTCTCAGTCGAATGTTTCTCATTACATATCACAGGTCACAAAACATAATATTACTGGAAAGGTCTTGAAGAATTGTGATCTAGATGAGCTTAAAAGGGTTAGTATTTTTATTTTATCTCTAATATTAAAAAAAAAAAAAATCTGTAGTATTCAAGATATTTGTTTCCATTATTTCCTTTTGTTTTTGAAAAAATATTACCTATTAAGAGCTTTGTGGAACCAAACCCAAACACAATTTTAACAAACTAACAAGAAAACTTGTTATAAAGATCAGTAAAATAAAAAACGGTCAGATTTTATAATTTTATGAACAGCATCATCCATTAAAAACTAATTTTAAGCATTATACACTGACATGCAAAAAATTCCACCCACTTGATTATTTCATGTTTTCATCTAAAAATATTTCTGCTTGGGATTTGTCTATTGTTTTTAATCTTTTTGTTTGTTTCCAATTAGGAATGTTAATATAGAGGACAATAACCCTTAATCCTTAATTCAATGAAATGATTCTAGATTCCAATGTTTCTAAGATTCCAAAACGAACCATTATGATTCTAAAAGAAATTACTTACATCATCGTTTAGTAGCGCGTGTTTGCTCCTCTTGCCTTCACTACTTCATAAAGAAGCCTCGGCATACTTTCCACCAGTCGGGAAATGTCCCTTTGCTGGAGGATAGCCCATTCCTCCCGGGGAGCACTTTGAAGGTCCTGCAGTGTATCAGGAAGTGTTGCACACGCTCTTATTCCTCTTCCGAGGTTATCCCATAAATGCCCAATGGGGTTCAAATCTGGAGAACGTGCTGGCCAGGCAAAAACCTCAATATTGTTCTGTTGAAGGAACGTCTGCACTATGCGGGCGACATGTGGGCGTGCATTATCGTGCATTAGAATAGAACGATCGCCAATTTCGTTGAGGATAGGCAACACATGAGGTTCCAAAATCTCATCTACATAGCAAATGGAGGACCTTCCACGAACAACAACCAATTCTGTGCAGCACTCAATTGAAATCCCAGCCCACACCATTAAGGAACCAAGTTGGAAAGGTTGGCTCTGGGAAAAATTACAGGCTGCATATCTTTCGTTCCTTCTTCTCCACATCCTTTCACGCCCGTCTGGAGATCGAAGAGCAAATCTTGACTCATCTGTAAAAAGTACAGCACTCCATTCGTCCATAGTCCAATGGCTGTGTTACTCTGTGAGTTCTGGTCAATTCTGGTCTTCTTACTGGACGAAAGGCCATTAATCCATACTCATTTAATCTTCTCCGAGCGGTACGTTCAGAAATTTGCACACCTCGAACTTCTTCGAGCTGATGAATCGCTTGAACAACGGAAAAGTGCCGGTTTCATAAAATTCTCAAAGTCAAAAACCGGTCATCCCGAAATTACATTCCGTGGTTCTGTTACCCTAGACCGTCCAGAACCAGGCCTTCTATTGTAAGAACCAGTTTCCCGAAAACTCGTAAAGTTTCATATGGAACTCCGATGGCATTAACTGCATATCTAATGGAACGTCCATCATCAATAAGTGCCACACCACGCGCAACATCGTCAGCACTAAGAGGCATTTTTAAACTTAATATTGGAAAAATTAAAAGCCGGAGACTAAGAAATGTGCTGCAAGAAACGGTACTGAACTAACGATACTGAATAAACATTTTGATTCCATAGAAAGTAAACATTGGAATCTAGAATCATTTCATTGAATTAAGGATTAAGGGTTATTGTCCTCTATATTAACATTCCTAATTGAAAACAAACAAAAAGATTACCTATTTATTCATTAAAAACAATAGACCAATCCAAAGCAGGAATATTTTTAGATGAAAACATGAAAAAATCAAGTGGGTGGAATTTTTTGCCTGTCAGTGTAGAACACTTCATTCGTTCGCATCCTGATTTATTTATTTTGATTTCCTGCATTCAGCAAAGTATCTTAAACAAAATCACATGTTTTGAAAGCTCTGAAGTGTTTATGTGTAACCTAAAAGAAATAAAATCTCACATTGACCTAAACAACAGCCTTGTAATTGAATTACATCTGCTAAATAAACTCTTAAGCTTTGTTCTAATTTACAAAGTTTAGTGAGAGTGGACGACATCGATGATCACTGAATTTCAAACGTTCAATTAGGACATTCGGCTGTATTATTTATGTTTGATTTTTGCATAAATCATCTGATCGTTGATCATCACACATTGGTTTATCAAATAGGATTTAGTCTGACTAATGATATTTTTTTATTAACATCTATCCTAATTAATTCTTTACATACAATTTCTATTCCTCATTTAACAGTTTAAACTTTTTCAAACAAATTAGAACTACCTAAAAACAAATAGAATAATATAAGATCAATAAGGGGCTCTTGGCACTACCATGTTGACATTATATATTTTTAACATTGCTGGTATATTTTGAAAACTATTTAACCTGATGTACGGAGACATTCTAATATTTGTATAATGAAATCTAAAATATTGTTACAGGTTTTAAAAATGAACTTTGGTGACTGGGAAATTTTTAGAATGGTTTTATCTGCTTTGAGACTTACTGATGACTCAGCTACGAATTCTAGATTTAGATATGGCTCGAGCCCTCCCAGTCCTCAGCAGGCACCTATAAACTGTAAGTATTATTATTATATATTCAACCCTTAACTTATTATCATCTTCTATTATAATGTAATTACTCTACTCAACAATAAAATAATTGTTATATTGAAAATAAATAAACATTGAACAGCAAACATGATATCATAATATTAACAAAACAAAAAGACAACTCTGTTATTTATCATGCTATGATACATAGTATAGTTTGTAATGATTCGTTACTGTTTATTTTTTTAAAAAATTGGTTGATTTATAGTTGATTTAGTTAAACATATAGTTGTGAACAATTAACTACTAATAGTTTTATTCAACCAAAAAATTAGTTATCTTCATCCAACAATATATATAGAAGTAATAATTAAACTTTAATTCCTCCCATAATCTTTCATATATTATCTGTATTACTTATTTTTATATACTATGATGATGTATTAATTTATTCTACTACTTGTAATTTTTCATTTTTAACTCATTATTTAATTTTATTTTCATTATTAATATATTCATATTTGGTTTATCTTTATCATTCTCATGCTCTGAATTTTAATATTATTTTTTTCATCTATTTATTAGAAAACTATGTTTACTGTTTTTATAATGTCATACATTGTGTTTTCTTGCTGGTTGTTAACTTATATTTAACTTAGCCCTTTAAAACTTAGACTGAGACATCATACAATAAAATAAGATTTATTAATTATATGCTATTCTATCTATGACCGCACCCCCTACCAACTTATGCAATTAGGTTTTTATAATTCTGTCAATCGACTTTGATAATTAGAAACATCTAAAATGAACTTGACCTTATCACTTTCTTGTTTTTGAATGTCAGTAGCATATGGTACTACTGGGCATTAAGACATTTCCATATAAATTTTGTTTATTACTATTACCTATACAGATAACAAGAAGTTTCAATAACACAAGTTAATTAAATACAATTTTTATAGCTTCAACTGGAAATAGCGTTAGTGCTTCTAACAAAGACTTAAGGACTAGTTCTGGTGCTCAGGATGAGGCAGTTAGATCCAGTAAAGAGCGGATAAATTCCATGGAAAAACAGGTATTTTTTTATTTTATTTTAATTTTTTATTAAAATCCACTTCTAAGCTGTTTTTATCATTAATATTTGAAATTGTAGTAAACATATTTTATAATATGTCTTAATAAACCAATCAGTGATAAAAAGTGTTTTTAACGTCATCATACTACCATATTTTATATTTAAAAAAAAAAATTATTTGTTTCTTTTCTGTCATTTCCAGTCTTGAAATAAAGAGAAAAATATTTCATTTAAATGTACTTCGATTAATGAAGGAAGATTACAAGCTGAAGTTTACTTGTTCTTGGTTTTACTGTTAGCTATATTTTTTAATGTGAGAGAAGGGGTGAGTCTATTGTAACCCTGTAAATTTCCTCAATACCTTTAGTAGCAGGATAAATAATCATAGTCATTGATGTAATTAACTAACGTATCATACCATCCTTTAAAATGCAAGTCAGAACAAATTGCATTAATATTAACACGAGCATTCAACCTTTGGGGAGCCCTACATTTGATGTATCTATTTTAAACATATATGGTTGTTATATATTTTCTATATTTTAATCTGTTAGGCTGTTATGAAGATCTATTATTAATTTTTTTCTTATTATATACAGACATTATCTCTTACATTTCATATTAAATAAGTCGTTTATTTCATCTTTGTATGATTTTTAATGGCCATAATTTTAAGATAAGCCAAAAATTTAAAATAATACTAAAAATTAGTCTTGAATTTTAATAACGCCATTTTATATTTTTTGAAAGTAAAATTAATATATTTTCTTCAAATTTGACATTAATATTACTTTTTTTTTAGTTTTGCGCCAAATTAACTATAAAAAAAATTTTAAATTCCCTTCTAATCCTAAGATATCTTTAAAATTATTTTTATTTTAACAGTATTCGATTGTGTTAGTTGTTGTCACCTTCCCTGTATGATTCTGTTAGCCTAATATTGAAGGCCTAAAAGTTCTTTAAGTTCCGAGCATGCTAACATATCGCACGCACATCCAGAATGAAAGAGGAATAATGAACTCAAAATTTCTAATATCAGAAATATTAATAGTTGAACCTTTATCATTTCAAAGAGCAAGCCAATCCTCAGCTATCAGGCCAATCAGTAGACGGTAGCTGATCTACCAGCAAATACAGCTATAGGAATCTTTCTGAGAACTTCCGTGTAGAACTTAGCCTGTGTCCAATGTCATTCTTGCAAAAAAAACATTTTTTGGGTTGTACCCTTTCATTCTTGATGTGTAATATGTTGTATTTTTATTTACATTTGAATAGTAATCTAAATCCATTTACTATTGATCTTGTTTATTTCTCGTTGGATCTTTTTATATTCTTTATAATGTTCAAGAACTTTTAATTTGTCTTTCATCTTTGGAGTTTAATAGTGTAATTAAACAAAGCTGATATGTAACATTATTTTCTATAATTCCATGTTATTTGTTTTGTTATTGCGATGAACCTACCAAAAACAATATTTTTATTTTATTTTAGCCATTTCAGTCAGATTGCTAGCGGCAAAGATAATATTCCCAGACAAATTTTTTAGGACAAAAACATTCCTTTTTCTTGTACAGCTACTATTCGAAGAACTGCTGCTGTCTGTTATCTTTTTTAAATAATTTATAAGTTATGAAGATAGATTATTTTTATTCTTCATTGTCCAATTTTGACCTTATTTTTAAATATCTTTTCACTCCTATTTGCCTTAAGATAAATTCAATTAATAATCACAGCTAGTTTTTTATCACTATTTATAATGAATGTTTCGGGTTATTTTTGTTCCCCTACGTCAGCGAATGATATGCCCCAAAATTGGATAAGTCACAGTTATTAATAAGTTTGGCCGATGGTTGCAATCTAACTAAAAAAACTTTCTCATAGCTTTCTTTGTAAACTTTTGATGAGAATAATGGAAGAGGGTTCTTTATGCAATTCTTTTGGAGATGTCTATAGGGAAGATGGAAATTAGGTTGGGGATTTTTTGCTCTTTCCGTGGCATGTTGATCTGCCATGTCATTACCATATAGTCCTCAATGTCCTGGTATCCACTGAAAGGACAGCTTTGTTCCACATGTTAACAACACACATTGTTGTTGTAAATATAACAAAAAATGCATTGTCCAGTAATCTGATAAACCAAACTTTTTATGAGTTTGAATTCCGGCAGAAAGAGGGGACTTCAATTCTCGCATTAATCACTCATGCTCTCCCCTGGCCCAGGAAAAACCTTTTATAGCTAAAAAGGCAAGGAACAGGAGAAAAAAAAAAATGCTCTGTTCTTCGTTCTGTCAAAGGTTTAATGAATGTGAGATTTAATTTTTGTTACCTTATAGTTTTAATTGTAAAGAGACTTTAAGGCAGTGATTGCTGTTTGGAATCAACAAACATAACAATACTGGCATTTTTTCTGGAATTTAGCTTTTCTGGCATCAGAGATATAGCCCTCAGTTATTTATTGTTCATTACTACCTTTTTGAGTAGTTCTGAAATTGTAAATTATGTTCAGTAGGTACCTGCTCCTGCATTTGCTTTCTTTTTACTTGAGAAATATTGTTTCTTGAGACAGTGCCGTAAGCTCATGAAGTGATGTTTCGTTTTTACTTACCTTACTTGTTTGATGAGCTATCTTTGGATGGAAAATCGATGTGGTTATGGTTGGCATGTTTTACCAATGAGTCCACTCCTTTCTCCAAGATTCAACCCTCTTCTGGATATCATTTTTCATGCTTCTGTTGTGAACATTGCATGTGTTTTAAGACATTGTATTGCGTGGCTAGTTTCTACATCTGCTTGTAGCCCAATAGGAGTTATTGGGTTGGATTTGACTCCTCTTGTTATAAGCCTTAATGCATGGTTTCAAACAATATCGGGCTCGGTATTCTATTATGGAAAGACAGAAAAAAAAAAAAAGAAAGAAAGGAGGGACTGCAATGAATGATGCTATGAAAGCTGTTTCATCAAGTTCTAATAATAGGACACAGTCTCCTGACAGTTTATTAGAAACAGCTAGTTAACATTGGCTTCTGAATACTCTTTTGCTATTCATTTTCGAAAAAATTTGCCTATCTGTTTTAAATTATGACTTATTTAACTATTATTTATGACTTTAATTCATAAAAAAAAATATTTGTATAATTTTGTCCAGTTACATAACAGATTGAATGTATACATGATACAGAGTTTAACAATAAAAAAATATAATAAATCTAAACCTGAATTAATTAATTCATTTAACTTTTTTTTAAACTGGCAATGGATACTTCAGTATCAGGTAAGTGATAAAATTTGCTTACTTAATATATTATATAGTACTTAAAAATATTTATTTCCCCACTTAATTCAGATAGTTGGTTATTCGTCTAAAAAATTGGCCTCGTTGGTATATTGTTTGAATCAATATATTTATATATAAGAAAATTAATCTAGGTTCATGTGTCAATGTTTTCAAATTTCATTATCATCTAGATTTTCTCTCCTTGACAATTTTTCTATTTTGGAATATATTCATAAGTATTGTTTACAGGTGACTTTAGAAGATCAAATGATTTGTGGTGCTCTTCAAACCTTAAATGAAGAAGCTTGTGAGGATGTGTTAGATGAAGGTGTTGAAAATGATTCAGGTTCGTATTCTGTTAATGAAACAAATGAATTACCTCCTGTATAATTAGTTAAAGTTTCTTTTAATTACAGTCACCATTCTCAGAAATTACTTATTTTTATTTCCTTTAAGATAAATATTGTTTTTATTTGGTTTAAAAGATAAATAAAATATGTATTAATAATGACTGTTAAGGTATATTATTATTTTTATTTATCCTTTATAGATTTATTTTGCTCTTATTATTTATTTACAATTTATATTTCATAAAAGCTATTTTACTTATCAGAAGAGGACCAATTCATAAAACCTACATAAATGAATTAGGCATCGTTTTGAATGAAACTGATTAATATTTACTACTTTCAACAGACAAGAACTATCTCTTAGTTCAATTAAATAAAAAAAATCTAAATTAAAAGAAATATATTGGAAATACAATAATGGCATTTCTATTTTTTTTTAATAATAAATAAATAATAAGGTAATTTTTGATCAATTTATGGATATACTAATTACAATATTTTGGGTTGGTTGTAGTTTAGAATAATATAAGAATAAAAATATGTTTATTACCAAAAAGAAAACATAGTTATTTGAAAGCTTCTGGATTTTCCAAGGCCTTTTAACTTTTACTTGAGTTTACTCAAAAACATAAAATATGTATTGGTTCCCTTCTGTTAAATGTCATCCATCTATGCTTCAATTGTTTTGTAGTAGGTTTAAACCATTTTGGTTGAAACCACAACTTATCTGTTTAATTTTATTAATTATATATTTTTCCTATTGGAAAATAAATAAAATGTAAGTATTAAATGAAGATTGGATTAGATAAATGCAAAATTAAATTAAAACTTCAGTGCAAGGCTAGTTTGTTGGAAATTATGGCTTTAAAAGCCTCTTCTAATAGATATGGATGGATCTACACACTGTATGGCTAAGGATTAATTTTGATTGATACTATACTGTATTGGTTAAATCAGTAAATGTTTTTAAAAAAAAAAAAATAGAAGCTTAGTGCCTGGATTGCATAATATTTTATCTGAAATCAAGTAATTATAAATCATCTCCACACCTTGAAGAAAAACATACTTTAAGTTTGATTTTGGGTGCTTAAAGAAAAGAAAAAGATAAATATTTTACATTATATAATACCACAAAATTATTTAGTTCTCCATATATTATATGAAAATAGTTGAATAAATCTATAAGCAAAATAATTGAAACATTATTAGAACTACTTACTAGACTAGTGAAATATTGTATATTTTTGTAGAATTAAGTAAATCTGTCTTTTTTTTTTTTTTTTTTTTATTCTTGTTAAATTATTTCATTCATTCATATTCTAATGGCTTATGAAACCTTTCTTGATTTCATTGAAGACCATAACATAAAATCTAAGTTTTGGTTTTGTGACAGACAATTGGAAGTTGAGTAAATAACAGTTTTCGACTTATCTGATTATTTCATTTTTCATCGTTAATTTAATATGATAACTGAGACTGTCTTATGGTATTCATCCTGAATAAATAATATCTAGTAAAATTTAGCACTTTACCAAGAACCTAATAATAATCTTTTTCTACATTTGTGAATTTTTCAACTGAATCTTAAATCATTTTTAGTTTGAATAATTAAATTTGTATTTTTTAAATTTAAAAAGTTGTATTCATAGATAAATGAGTATACTGTATTTAAAATCACGAGCCTCAAAGACAAGGAAAGTTTTCTCTTTATTACTTACACTATTGCCTACATGAATATTTAGATTATTCTTAATGTTCACTATTACATTTTTCATCACCCTTTAAGAATTTATTTTAATAGATTACTATAATATTTTTACTATTCATAATTTTCTTTGTGATGGATCGTTTTATATATATTCCATAATATATTTATTTTTGTATTTTTACAGAATATTGAAAATGTTCCTTAAATCCTTTCCCAAATTCCTTTCATGAAGTAAGTCTTTCAAATTTATTGGATTTTTAATAGTATTCCTCTAGTTATAATTTTAGCTATAAATTAGCTATCAATTATTCTTGATGAATTTTTATTTTATTTTTTCTGTGTGTTTGTAGGTAGTGATAGTTGAATCACTGCAGCATTTATTTTTGACATTAAAAAATTGTTAATTATGTGAACTAGCTTTTTTTAAATATTTTTTAGTTCACTTATAATTTTTTATAAAAATATTGATTGAGTAAATTTTATAATCAAAATCATATATCATATATCAAAGTTCAATATGGTAATATTTATTTGCTGGTGTTAATTTTAGTGTTCAATTAGATTATATATATATATACCATGACATGTTATAGTTAGATGACCGGAGTATTGATGTTTAAGAGGAGTGGAACGTCAATCAGTGATGATTTTATTAAGAAATAAATAGATTTGTATTCATGTTTTAAAGTCTCTATATTTATTATTTACATTTTTTATTAATGAGAAATAATTACTATAATTAAAACAACAGTTAATTAAGGTTAGAAGAAATTTTAAAATATAACATATTCATTCTACAAATTATTACTCTTTGGCCTTTTTTAAAATTTTAAGTTTTGGTTAATGATTTTTTGTTTAAAAGTATATATTTCCAAAGCTTTATGTTTTAATTTACTCTTTAACTACATTATTTTTATTTTTTGAAGTTTCATCTCTAAAAGTTAAAAAATGAAATTTCATCACTAGCTCTTTGCTAATTAACTCACCATAAGTCACATATACATACATGCAGCTATGTATTAGCTATCATATATCGGTTGATCAGGTATTATTTTCTAGAATTTCGTATCTTATCTCTTAAACAATTATGTGTTCATATTCATGCTCAATTGCTGATCTCTTTTGTTCTAAGGAAAATCCTTAAATTTTATTTATTTATTTTTATTTTATATATTTTGTTATTACCAACAGTTCTAGTTTTCAAGGGTATTCTCTTTAATTGTTATCACATCATTTTTGAAGGAAATAATTACCTTTATCAATTCAACATTTATTTATTGAGTCCACTTTAAGCAATAAACTTATTATTGAAAATTCATTTTTCCCATTCTTTTAATCTTTGTCATTAATCGTACCTCTTTCGTCTTTGCAATAAACAAAATCTATTTGTCTGTTTTGTCTGAGTTTACATTTTTTTTTTTTTTAATTGAAAGCAAAATTTCAACTGCATTTAAGTTGAAAGATGGAAACTTAAAAGTTAATTTTATTTATGCTCACCATTTTGTAAGATTACATTGGTAACTATACTTCTTGGTTTTGTTTTTCCTAAGTTTATGATTATTATTAGCCAATTTCTACCCATGACTGTTGTGTCTTTTTTTGATTAGCTGTTCAGTATAGACAGGGTTTGTAGACTTTCTGATGCTCTGCAACCATAGTTTTATGACTGCATATTGGAGATTTTTTTGACTACAGAATTTATTTATACTTTGGTTGGGGCAAAGTATTTAAGATCTTCGTTTACTTCAAAATTGTTGTGATCAGCTCTAGTATTACATAATAATTTCTGAATATCTGTTTGCAAATCGGCCAATAAAACTGCCTTCTGTTTGTGAATAATTGCTTAAAGTGTATGAAGTTATTTAGATTAAGATTAAGATATGAAGATTGTCCACGAATTCTCATGGTGTTCTTTCAGGTCTCCACCCATTTCTATCAAGACTAATTGAAAGTTATTTGCTGCTTAACAAATTTTTTTTTTGTAGACATTTTAGAAAATTAATTTCAACTCACCTAGGATTTTTTTTCTTTTTAAATATTGTTTCTTTATTGTTTCTCAACATCAATATGAAATATATATACTTTTCGCCACATAGCTTTGATTAAGAATAACTTGTTATAAATCTAAACGTTATTTTTATAATACAAGTAATTGCTCCCATGTAAATCTGCTAGTGATTGAGGTTCCACTGTGGGATTTAAAGTTTGCTCGTGAACTGAGTGACTAAATAATATTTCTTTAGACTTCAGAAAAAGACTGATTACTTAGTATAAGTAGAATATAATTTATTATTTCAAAACAATGATCTGTTATAGTAAAGAACTATTATAATAAATAAATAGCTGTTTGGTCACTCCTTTCGCAAAATATAATTTTACTATCTATTTATAAGAATACATACACACACTTACATAGAAATGTATAATGTTTTATGGGTGATAAATAGTAAGTACGCAGTCATTTTAAAATTTGTATTGTTGCCGATGTTTCAACCCAAGCATGTGGATCATCATCAGGGCAAGTTACCAGCACTGATAATGACCATGCTTGGGTGAAAATGTTGGCAACAATAAAAATCTTGAAATAACTGCATCCGGACTATTTATCACCCACAATATATGTAGAACAGTCAAATAATTCTATTGAATTTTTTTTTCTTAAAATTTTGATATTGTTAGATGACTGATATTTCCTGAAACAAAATTCCATTATAGGGTAACATTGTGAAATTCTAAGCTAAGTCAGAAGGGTTTTTATAATATCTATTAGATGTGCTTCTTTTATATATCCTATAAATGTTTCAATTAAATATACACATAGATTTATGTGTTTCAATTGTTCCCATTGTTAATACATTTGTGTGTGAGTGTGTGTTTTCATATAAAGACTTTTTTAGATTGTAACTGTATCATTACAAAAAATATTAATGTACCTGATAAATTCAAAATTCTAAACAAATACAATTCTTATTTACTTACAAATACTTGAGCTGAAAATCAGTTTTTAAAGGGCTAATATCTTGAAACATGTGTGTTCCTAAATACTGTGTAATAAACAAAGTTTAGTATGATATCAGAACTGAACTCTAGCTTGTAGAATTGTGCCATAGTGATTAAAGGCATTTATATATTCAATTTATGTTTAGTTTTTAATAGTTTATAAAATATTTGACTTAATAAAGTCTTAATATGATTTTTTGTTTAAAATGTAAGATATATGTTTAACGAGGTCTGTTAACAAGTCAATAGACCACTTTAAATTCGAATAACTTAATGAACAAGTAACAAATTAATAAGGTTTATTGAGCTTTGAAAAGTTATTACATATTCTTTTCACCACCTTTTTTTGCTGTCCATTAATAAATGTATTTACCATCAGGTTTTTTATGATTGTTTATTTTTTCAATGGCATTTGGATTTCTGATTACTTCATAGATAGTTCTATTATTCTTGTATCTCAATCTTTTCAAAAGAAATCCGAAACTGTTGTCGTATGAGTGTGATGTCCAATCGCTTAGTTTCAAAAAATTTTAGATCTTCCAAATATGTGTGTTGTTTTAAATCTAAGATACAATCCTTGATCTGTTTTGTAGTATTTCACCAGCTACCAAATTACATTTTTATCATTTCATATAAATTTATTATGGAACATGTTCTATGTAATAACAGTATGGCTGTCATCATATTAAATTTAAATATATGTTAAAGGATATCATACAATATATTCAGCATTGAGTGCAACAAAGTTTAGCTTACAAGTAATAGATGAACTATTTAGATCGATAAGCTTATTTTGTTAATCCTTGATTAGATGTAATGTTCCTAGTTTATTTTAGTTATTTGCTTTATCTATTTATTCATTATCTTTCTTGTTTTGTGTAATTTATTGTCTTGTTAGGAAAGTTTTTAATCATGTTAGATATCTTTTTTTTTAATAGTTGAATGGTCGCAAAGAAAGATTTAGTGAAAATTAAAAAAAAAAATTAAAGTATGTTAGTGTGTTTAGAAGTTGGTATTTTTATGTCATTTTTGAAGGATTAAACATTGAAATTTCTTATTTTAGATTTATTATAATTACGTTATATGTTCCATTATTACCTTTGGCTCTCCTAATTTATCTCCCCTCCCCAACCCCCCCTCCCCAAAAAAAAGGAATAGCGGTATGTTAACATTTAGTAGAGTAATCAAAATTTTTGTCCATATTTTTCTGAATTTATATGTGATGATCTGAACGATTGAAAAAAAGAGCACATTTCTTTAGTTCTTGTTTTGATAAAAATACAATTTAAATCTTTTAATTAATTATTTTATGATAATTTGCAAACACTTATTATATTACTTATACAAATAATCAATTAATTAATCTTTCATGAATGACTGCTTGCTCCCAATAGATATTGTATTCTGCTTACAATTAGTTTAGAATAAGCTTAATTAGTTAAATTTATTTTTAAAAGTAACTGAAAGGTCTATTTATGTGCCAATATGGAATTAGTCTGTATTTAGAAAGAAAGACAGATTGTATTTTACCTATTTATCATTTGTAAAATTATTTTTGTGGATTATTTCATTATTTATCTGTTATTAGAACAATAAAATGAAGTTAAATCTTATTGTTTTGTTTCTGTCTTCCTTTCTATTGTAGCTAGCTCCTAGTATCCTTTCTATTTTTATCTTTTTGTTTATGTTTTAATTTAGCATGGATCATAGATAACTTATGAGTGATTCAACATGAATTAATTTCTTAGTATATAAAACAATTCATTTACTGCATTTAGATGATGTAAGCATTTAATTTTAGTAAACTAAATTTAAATTTGTATCTCAAATTTTCTTTTACTTAATAAGATGTGTTTTTTTTTTTTTTTTTTTTTTTTTTTTTATATTGGCAAATGTTGAAAAGACCATAATATACACAAATGACAAGAAAACATATTTACTAGGCTTGTCCAGCTTTTAGCCTACACTGGTGAAATAGAAATTGTTGGACACTCCCTGCAGACTGTGAATGATACATTTCTGGTACTGACAGATGTTGTCTGCAGAGTTGGACCAGAATTAATGAGTCCAAAACAAAATATATGGTAACAGAAGAAATTACCAAGCCAGATGGGAGAGTTACAATTGGGCTTCATAAATTTGAGGAGGTCTCAGATTTTACTTTTCTGAGATATGTGGCATCACCCAGGATAATAATCTTGATATTGAGATAAGGAGAAGGATCACAGCAGCCAACAAATGCTAATTTGGGTAGAACAAAGAGCTAAGTAGATGGATACAGTCAAAGCTCTAGCTCTACTAGACATATGTGATCTTCTACTTTTTTATGGATTGGAGTGCAGTATAACTTCAAAGGTCACTCTGAAAAGGTGCTCCTCATTTTTGAAAGGAATGTTCTCCGCCTTGTTTTTGGAGGTGTGAAAGTTGGCGAGGAGTGGAAGCAGCACACAAACTAGAAGCTGTACATTGCTTTGTGGGAAGATATGCAGGGCATATTGACATTATGGCAGATAGAGCAATGCCTAAAATATTGCTAACACAGCCAATCCATGAAACAAGGAGAATAGGAATCCCGAAGCTGAGTTGATCAGATAAATGAATTAATGAATGGTGTAGCTGATGCTTTTTTTCATTGATTAGCAGTGAACTTTATGATTTTTAGTTATTAACTAATAGTTAATGAAAATAAAAACTTGCCATAAAACAAGAATATAAAGAATAAAATTTTACTTCTATTGATTTTTTTTTTTTTTTTTTACTATGAGGTGGAAATATGGTTCATAATATAAGATTTGACAGTGTTTATTCTACCATTTTATTACATTGGCAACGTTTTGGCTAGAATACCATTGTCAAGCCATTTAAATTAATGATGTGCACTACCTTATAGCATAGTTATATATAACATAACATAGTGAACATCACTAATTTAAATTGCTTAAAAATGGTGTCTTAGCCAAAACGTTGCCAATGTAATAAAATGAAAAATAAAAATGGTGGAATAAACACAGCCAAACCTTATACTATAAATTAAATTTCATTTAAGTTATCTTTTATTTAGGGAATTGTTGACTTCCAATAAAACATTATCTCTCTCTCTCTCTCTCTCTCTCTATATATATATATATATATATATATATATATATATATATATATACTATATATTTTACTGTCGTGAGTTATTTATTAACTGAAAAGGGTAGAAAATACTATTTAAATAATAGCATTATTCAATTGATACATTGAAAGCAGGTAATTCTGAGAGTAATTATATCAACATTTAAAAAGTATCTGCTATACCTAGTGAAGTTATATACCATCCTCAACTACTTTTATTAAATATTCTTTAAATTATTTTCTGCTATCTATAGTTGTACATAAATTATAAAAATTATAGTTATATGACGACTCTAGCAATATTTTCTAATAAATAATGAATTTTTCAGGTAACTTGATGTCCTTTGGAGATATAAATAGGACACCTAGTCAGTCCAGTTTTTACAGTTCAAATCGGGATGAGACTGACGTCATAATACTTCAGGTATCGATAGTTTTTCAATTTTTAAAAACAAATATGATAAAAAATTATTTATCGCATAACCTAAGTTTTCTTGGGCCCACCAAAAAATGTATTAAATTACAAATATCTAGGCCTCTTATTTTGAAAATATAAACATAATTTAGCGTAGCTAAAACTTGTAGCATTAGAGCTCACTGCTACTTTTATTGGCCTAGGTTCAAACCCAAATTGCAGTTCATCATTTATGTATATTTTATTAGGAATTTAATGGTTATGCTTTCCCACTGTGTCTTTGTCAACTGCCATCATTGTAGGAAGTTAGGTAGTACTTCCAAGAGTACTTAAAAGAGTATTTCCAAGCCCTCCTTTTTACTCTTATCAGAAACCACAACAGTTAATTAGATGGTGATGGTAAATAGTAATGAATTTTTCTTGTTTATCATATTTTCATTAAAAAAGGGAGGTACCAGTCAATGGATCACCGATTTCAATACGAACAATCTCTGGTTTTATAAAAGTGGAGATTGTTTTCACCCAAAACTACTCTCTTCTTCCCTAATTATTGTTGTTATTTAGCAAAATTTAACAAAATAATTCATCATTCGTCACTATGGCTGTATTTGTACATATCAATATGGGGGTTATCCATTTATTAATATAAATAAATTTAATATATAGTATTAAAATGAAATCATCCTACTTTCTATGATAAATTTAAATTTATTAGTTTATAGTCTTGACCTTTCTCCATTAATATTTTCTCCTCACTTCTTGCCAGTATGTCTAATTTAATAAACTACTCTTAAATTGAAAGTGTTATTCTTGTTAGGAAAAACACTATAAATTAAGAATTGTTTTGTTTTTTTAAATTAGACTGTTGGCAAGAAGTGAGGAGAAAATAATAAATACATTTTACACTTATTTATATTTAGCATGCATACATAACTTAGAGATCAGAGTATTAAGAGGTTTGAAATTTTAATGAATATCTTTTGATTTTAAATTTAAAATTTTCCCAAATCTCTAATATTTAGTTATCTTATCTATAACATATGATTACACAAAGGTCCTTGAGTTCTTATCTTAACTTTAGTTTTCCAAGTGTAGTTTAAGTAGAATTTTGAATATTAATGGCCTAGTGGCAATGCCTCTTATCAATGAACTGTATTTTTTAGAAGAGATAAAAAGCTTTATATTTTGTATTTAACATTTCAAATTTTTACAAATATCTTTAAGTAAGTTTACGTCTTCTTATTTTAAAATAAAATATGAACTATTTTCTAGTTGCAAAAAAATGTTTACCTAAAAGTTATGATCTGTAGTATTGCTATTAGGCCATCAATATGAGATAAATGATGAAGCATAAATATAAGTTTTTTTTATTATGTTTTGGTGAAATTTAATATTATTATAATATTAAATACCATATTGATGGTAGAACACATACATAATATTTGAAAAAGTGGTCTATACCGTTTCTTTGAGATACTGATTGCAATAATAGGATTTAATATACATGGATTCCCTAAAATATTTAATGATCGTTTTAAATATAAAGATATGTTTGCAATATCATTATGGTACTATTAATAATAATAAAATATGTTTATTTATATTGTAAATAATTGAACAAAATGATTAGATTAATGGTGTAAGAACATTTGAGCGAGAAGATGTGAGTGAATAAATGGGAGTTTGAATTGAATGGGAGTTTGGGAGTGTGAATAAGGGGGGATGTGAGTATGAGAGAAAGACAATTACAAACTGAAGTTGTTTAGATTATCAAGGATCAATCTACTGAAGATGGTTTATTGGAGAGAATAAGTAAATCTTGGTTACATGAATAGATATTGCAGAAGTGAATTGTCCATTTCATTTAAAGGATTTCAAAGATATCTATATAGAAAGATGAGAAAGAATACTTTTATGTAAAAATAATGTCAGGAAACTAAATAATACAGAATCAGTCTAATGAAGCTAGTTTATTCAATCGAATATGTAAGTCTTGGTTTCATGATTAGATATTGCAAGAGTGAATCACCCATTTTATTAAAAGAATTTCAAAGATACATATGTAAAAAGATGAGAAAGAATTTTTTTATATAAAAATGATCCTAGGAAGTTCTCACTACTGTAATTTTGGAAAAGCCATCTTAAGTCAGTATATCATTGGAAAATATTCAGGTGTTTAGAGACACTAAAGACAAAGTGGATGGAATTATTCATTATATTTAGTTTTCCTTTGAATTCAAGAGAAAAACTGTTGTAAAAATACAATGGTCAAAATGAGGAAATTAATATGTGGTATGAGCTATCAACTTGGAATTGGGAGTAAAGTTTTAGATTGATTCAGTTTTTTTTTGGGAGTGCTGAAGGATATTTTGGAAATGTGGTCCTTCCATTAAGTGGGAGAGACACCGAAGGGTTCCAGTTCAAGAGACCGGAGTGAATTTTAGACAACTTAACAGATTATTTTTTTTAGGAATAATAATTTAGTTTAGGTATTTTTACTGTCCAAGTAATAAAGGGTTTACCCACATTATACCAACACAGAATTCAAATATTTAAAAAAGTCTACTATATGTTTTTGCCCTAAAATTTAGAAATAGGTGTAAATTGTCAATAAAATATTTTTTTATCTTTTTTAAATAAATATCCGAAATTAAACAATACATTAATATCCTGGACTTATATTTAAGTTTTTAAGAATAATAACTCAGCATTAACAGTTAAAAAGATAGATATGAAATAAATAAAAAAATATTTTATACAAATTTTTTTCGTTAAATATCCATTAATTATAGATAGTATAATGTATATATATATATACTGTATAATGGAAATCAAATATCAAGAAAAAAAAATGTATTGAATCAAAGACTAAACACTACTGGGCTTGTTATATTCCATGCGTTTATACAAACCTATAATTGACTTTGTTTAAAAATCAACTAAGCCTTTTACACAAATTTGGAAAACACTTGTATGATTTGTCAAGTATTTGAATAAACGCTCATTTGAATAAACCTTACAGCTTATACAATAATTAATAAGCCATTTACAATTTTTTTTTTTTTTCTGAATAAAACTATATTTATCAACTTAGATATGCTTGCTTTTAATGAATCAAACAAATGAATGAAACAAAGTTTTTATTAATTTTTTTTTAGTTACATCAAATTCACTTATTGTTTATATTTAAATCAAGTTATGAATAACATATTCGTTAAGTATTAAGATTGCTGATTTTAACTACCTAGTTGAATAAATTTTAATTTAATTTAATTATGAATAATAAACCTTTTAAAAATTTACTTTTTTGTGAATATTAAACTATCTAAAAGGGTGATGATATTCTTTTTCAAATGTCTTATCATTCTTACACTGTTCAATTTACTTTTTGATAAACCTATGATGTATTTGTGTGTATTTCATAGAATTCTTCTTCTTCTCGCTGGTCTACCAATATTCCAGTTGATGATGAGAGTTCCGCTGGAAGTTCTCCAGAAACACCTAGAGCTTCAAGGAGGAGTGTATCTGAGGTCATTGTTGGTTATGATGGATTTCAAAAATAAATTTTTCTCAATAGTTTTAAATAAATATGATGCTTTATGTATATTTATCTCCTAAAATTACATTTATTTAAAATAATATTGCTGAAATTTAGTATACTATTAGTCGAATAATGTTATCAGTAAATCACTTTAACAATAGGTATTAATTAACTAAATCTCAAAACAGTTAAAGAGTCAAAAATTATTTTTCATTAAAAATACTTAAAGTCATAAGATTATTTATTAATGAAAACAAACAATTTATAGCTTTGTGGAAACTTTCTTTTAAAAACTTTCTGTCATAAAATTCTACCCTCTTTATTTTATTTCCTGGTTCCACAAATCTTATTCACTTTCAAGAGCTTCACACTGTTCAACATGATTTGAAGGAATTTGATGGTCTTCTAGAAAAATAATGCTGCTTGATTGATTTGAAAGTGTATTTGCACATGAGGGACGGAATGCTGAAGCTATCTATAGCCCAATAGCCCAACTATGGCCTTTACAAAATATCCTCAAACTGCTTTACCACTGAAAAATTGAGGACCTGACTGTGAATAACTGTGAACAATCCAAGGTGGCCTAGTAACACATAAAATCAAAACTTAATGGTGGCCATAGCTTCTTTTCACTCATATAATTCTTCAAGTAATTACTCAATTAGAATCCTTATAGAACAAGTACAAAGTTTTATTATTGAGATTTAATTTTGTATAGCTTTTTCAGAAGCCATACATTTTCATAGTGAGGGTAACAGATTCTACCAGGTACCGGGTAATTACACAGTTTAGACATTTTTGAGTACCGGGTAATAAGATAATTTAAACTCTGAGTACTTGGGCATGTCCATCAATCTCTGTTAGTAAATACAACTTCGTAAAAGTTGTAAGATTTAAATACTTATGATGAATAGTGATTGGAGATAATGACATGAATCAGGAAATGATGTAAAGACTTGTTGCCGAGAATAGATGCTATTATGGTCTCCTGAAGCATATGAAAAGCTGTTCACTACCTTCATCTACAAAACTGCTCCTATACGAAGTACTCATATGATTGGTTCTGACATAAGATCTCAAAAGTAAATGATGACAATAATCAGTGAGAGGTACTTACTAGTTGGAAAGAAAGATACTTAAAAAAATATATAGCTTATTCAAAAAGAATAATGAATCAATGATAAGGCATAATTACAAATTAGCCAACTTATCTTAGGCGACAGATGTGGTTTTACATATCCAAATAGAAGGAAGGATACAATTAGGCAGGCTGCATTAAATGAATGACAGATACTTCTACCTCTAAGAAATTGCTCAGCATGAAATCAGATGAAAAAAGAAACATGGAAACATTCCGATATCTTCTAAATTAATTAAATTTTTAACATCAAAAAAAGGTTACTGTTTGTATAGTCCTTTATTCTTTAATAAATGGTAATCATCGAATTAGTTGGAGAACTTAGACATCTGTAAATAATACCTGAGGAAATATGTCACACCAGTTTTCAGATTTATTTGTTTATTTATCATGATTATGACCAAAGTACTTGTGCCAATTGATCATAAAAAAATCCTTCATCTACATGTAGGAGACATTCAAAATTTATTCCTAGGAGTGAGTCTTGAACCATTGAAACATAAACAGTATCGTTTAAAATTTTTATGAATTAGCAGAAATCTTTAATAGTGTGGCAATGTGAAAACTTCAAAATTATTGAAATATCTTTCATTGGCTGTTTTCATTTATAATTTGTAAGTTTTAAGGAAAACAATGCATGAAGAGGTCACGATGATGAGCAAGCCAAGTTTGCTATATTTTAAGAAAGTCAATTGTTATGCAAATATCCTTAAATGAGAAATATTTATTGTATTTATATATGATTTAGGTGCAATGCAATTAAATTATATAGGAATGGTCGTCAAATATCAATGATAGAAATCTGTCATTTCTAAGAAGTTGAGAAAAAGCCAATTTTTTGTAACATGCCTTCAATTTAAACCAATTCTAATGATTTATTTTCATGATTCAACTTGTACATTCTTAAATAAATTCATCATAAACAGTTTGAGTTGAATCTATAAAACAAAAATGGATTTTTTATCCACTTTCTGAAAATTACAGATGTCCGTTTTCTATATGAAGCCATTTATATATGAGCCTTTCAATTGACAGAATGACTAACTCCAATTTCAACATGTTTTATTACTAATTTTAGTGATATTTCTAATGTGAAAATTTATACCATTATTCACAGTTCCATGTTTCAACACTGCAATCACTTACTCTGGAATGAACTTACTCACTGTCTGTACAGATATTATAAATTTTCCAACTAGAAATATCACCAAAATGGCTTTACTGTAAAATGTTGGAATTGGAGTTAGTCATTCTGTCAACTGAAAGACTCATAGGTGTAGTGTAAATTTATTATTTAATTACTTTCACTTTCTTGAATGAAAGCAAAGATGGCTTACATCACTATCATTCAAACCTCTCTTATAAATTGTCCTTTCTATTTACTTAAAAAAATCTCATGGTAAATAAATAAATTACAATATGGAAATAATAGATGTCTTTTTAACAGTTTTGAGTATTATTTATTTTGCTCTAATAAAAATTAATTTTCACAATCAATATTTCTTCATTTAACTATGAAAATATTTTAAGTTCATAAAGATGAATCCTTCTTATGAATGAAATTTTAAAAGTACTAACCAGATTACAACATTTAAGGAATTATGCCCTCGGGCAGTGGAAGGGCCTTGTTCTTTGTATATATTTGTATTTGTTATACTTATTTATGTAATTATAATTAAATAAACATTTTGGGAAGTTGAAAAAAAATATATATATATATACTTCATTGAAATTGACGTGAACTATTGTATAACAATTTTGCTGATAATTATAAAAATAGTAATTTTTATATTAGTAAAATATTATCACTATTTATATTTTATGAAAAAAAGATAAACAATACTTGGTCACCAGTCATTATTTTCACAATAGATTATTTACGATTATAGATATTTTTTTCTTTAAATCTTATTTAGTTTTATGACTATTGAAGTTGGATTATATATCTTTATTTTTTACATTTTTCATTTTTATCTCTCTGTCAGTGCTGTTTAGGTATTATCACTCTTGTTATTTATTACTTTCATCTTCTTTGCAGGGGTTACACTTTTTTTTTACTAATTTCATTCATTATTTAATATTAAAATTTGAATATGAACTTTTTTTGGAATCCCGTCTTCATCAACCTATTTTATTAAAATGTATCAATCAAGCAATATTTTTTTGAGCTGACTGATGGAATTATTCCATGCATAGGATAGTAATAATGAAAGAGGATTTACTTAAAAGGAAAAATTAAACAACAAAATTTTACTTGTATAGGAGACCTATTTATTGAAAAAAAAAAAGTCTACAGTTTACAAAAAAAAAAAAAAATAGATTTATGAACTAATTAATTATATTAAATTTTCAGTAAAAATAAAATCAGATTTTTAGATTCTAATTACAATTTAGTAATTTTGTTGATATTTATATTGGATCAATAGAGAGAATCCTCTGTGGTTACTAAAAACTTTAGAGAAATCTCTCTCCTCTTTTTCCCTGCTTATACAAAATCCTATCTGTTATTCTCCTTAAAAGACTTTTCTCATAGAGGCTGATTTTGAATTCAGTATGGATTTTGTAAAGGATAGTTTACTTTAATTCTTTACAATTAATATTAATTGTAGTTTTATATACATATATATTTGTATATGCAGGAAACAAGAGAGATTTTCCCTAAAGTTGATAGTAATTACATAGGAATTTCTCTATTGATTCAATCTCTATAGCTGTCAATAGTTCTCCTTCCTAATTATGGGTGAAATTATAGTTGTTTTTTTTTCATCCACTCGGTAATAGTTTCTATTCTCTATGTAGAACCATTAGAAACTTCTGAAGAAAGTTCGTTATTTCATTCTCAGTTTACTTGAACAGTTCTACTGGAATATTTTTGATTCTTGGGGCCTTGTTATTTTTCAATTTCCTTATCACATCTGTTGTTTTCTCTTCAATAGGTTCAGTAGAATTCACATTGTCTATTTCTCATGAATTGAGAGCAGGATATAGATTTATTTGTCAATCACTATTTGATATTTCTTCAAAATGGTCTGGCCAACACCTTCCTATGTGCTTCAACAGCCATCTTTATCCTGCTAGTATAGTTTAGAGGTTTAAATGTCTGATGGCTTTCATTGTTCATATGAAAAAAAAGCTCCAGCTATTCTCATATCTGTTGGCATTCTCCCACCATATGTTAGGATGGATTTTACATTCCATTTGCACATTTAAGTTTATTTTTTTCTAATGCTTATGGTATTCCTCTGAAAATATTCTTATTTACTTTTTTGAATCTTTGTTCTATAAGCTTGATTTTTCTTTAGTTTAATATCTTTCATTTCTCATTGAACTAAGAATTATTTTTTTCACATTTCTTTAATCCCATTAATCATCTTCCCAGTTTTAGTAATTTCTGCTTAGCATTCTTCCTACTTATTGTCAAATGTTCTATCTTGGTTAATACTCATAATTTTGGCATTAATGGATTCAGTTAGCAAAGTACAGACTGCGTCATCTTGGAGCTTTAAGATATCAGATCTTGATATGGATGTTGCATGTTGCCTTCTAGCTTTAGAGATTTGGGATATAATTTTAGCAATGATGAGAAAGTGTTGGGAATTTACATTAGCTCCTTGGTATGATCCCAACATACTTCATATTATTTTTTCCTAAATGATATATGAAAGGCTGGAAACAGACTGGAAAGTGGCTGGTCATGAATACCAGTATTGTCTCCAAGTCAAGTTTATAAAAGGAAATTTAAATAGGTGCGCTCTGAAGGCTATTCTACTCTAATATCAGTACTAGAATTACAAACAGGCCTCTTGAGACACACCGGGAGCAACTGGCCATTACGCTCTATGAAAGGCTAAAATGTCTTAAGATCAACTACTAAGGTAACTATGAACCTGCACCTGAATGCCTTAAAACACAAGTTACTATTACTAAGACAGTAGAAGGTTTGATACAAAGAAAAGGACTAGAACTAGCTGAAAGGGAGCCTCTCACAACATTGACACAAGTTCCATACACGTTCTGCTTCAGAACGTTTCTAAGGGCTCATCACCAATTTACCAACTAAAGGCTATAACCCTAGAAACTATCGGAAAACAATTCTCAGAAACAGAATGGCTGCATGTATATACTCATGGTTCTGCAGTGGAAACACACAAACATGCCGGAGTTGGAGTTTATTCAAAGGAGTTTCAACTTGCCAACCCAGTTGGAAAGGTAGCCACAAACCTTGAAGGGGAAGTGAAAGCCATTCTCTTAGGCCTTGAGAGATTGGTTTAACGGAAAGACAAGAAAGTTGCTTCCTTTGTCGACTCCCAGGCAGCCATTTTGTCTCTCCAAAATGGATATAATATGAATCCAAATGTCCTTAAATGCCATCTGTATTTGGAGTGATTAAAGGAAAATGGGACAGAAGTCCCTTCCCATTGGATACCAGAACGTTGTGGGCTCCATAGAAATGTGAAGCTGACAAACTGGCCAGAATAGGTTCTGGAATGATTCAACCAGATATTCCTCTGGGCATGGAAAATAAGTAAAATAATAATAAAACAGACCCTCCAAAGTTCACTGAAGGAGAAATATATGCAAAAAATTGACGGGAAGCGATGGAGTGGATTGCTTGAAGAAAGTGGCAGGATCCCGAGAGACCTCCCTAGTAGACATGCTTTAGAATGCTCACAGGGCACAATTTCCTGCAAAAGCACTTCCATCGCATCGGCATAAAAAATAGCCCGACATGTCCTCTGTGCTCCTTGGATATTATGACAGGAGAACATCTTGATACATGCCTTCCTGCATTACAGGACATAAGATGTTCCTTTAGTGAAATGGACAGCCATTATGCTAGGAGACCAAAATTATATTAGACTGCAATATTATGCATGGCTGATCATGCAGACGTTACCTAGGCATAAGAAAAAAAAAATGATGTTCCTTAATTTATAATTCATTATTTATGCCATATTAGTACCAGTTTATTTTTAGGCTTCCACAAGTTTGTGGTCTTGTGTTCCTCACAAAAGTTATCTACTCTTCCATAATTTTTATTAATTTCTAGTTACAACTATTTTACCTTCTTTTTCATTTTAATGTTACTGCATGATTACAACACTTAAACTATTAAGAGAGTGAGGTTTTTTTTTTATTATTTTTTTTTTTTATATGTATACATTACAGCATGTCGTACTGATAAGTTACATGTTTATGGTTAGGGGTGGTTAACGTCTACTGTTATCATCCAATATAAATATCCACTTTTCATCATAGTAACAATTTTGGACAGAAAATGGTCGTTTCTTTTTGAAAAAGAAGTGTAGCTCAAACTTCATGTTTTTGTTTTTTTTTTGTTTTGTTGGCAGTTGTTTAATGTGGAACCCAACTTTCAAGCTTTTTTACTTTTCTAATCACCTTGAGGTGGTCATCAACAGTCGATTTGCTGAAGTTAAGTTTCCTTACAAGTTCTCAAATAGTTGCTCTGGGGTTTTCTTCCACCAAAGCCATAGTAATCAAGAGAGAAAGTCCTTCCACAACCTTCTTTGTCTTCAAGGCTGAAGTCTCTCTCCCTAAAGTTTTTGAACTACTGTTTAACAGTGTACTCATTAATGCTGCTCTCAACTTGATTGATGTTTCTGGCTGTCTGGGCTCCATTTCGGCTGAGTTTAAACTTGTAAAACAAAATTATACGAAAATTATGCGTAGACTTCTTAGTAAAGACTGAATTATTTCTAAGCAGCAAAATGCTACAGAGGTAAACAAACATTATCATTTGGAAGAGGATTAATAAGTGTTGACATTCATGCAAATGAATAATCTAGTGAACGTAAACAGTTTGTTATATAGAGGGGTATTTTAAAGAAAACTCAAAATTCTGCATTATTTTCCAGACAACCCAAAATTTCGACAAATTTGTAAAAGTTTTTATATTTTTAAATTGATTTGTATGTATATTTGTATATAAGAATATGTTTATCAAGGATTTTCTTTTTCCATTTATTTCTACCTCTTTTGCTCATAGTTTTTGATATCCTCAATTGTTTTATTTCAATCTTTTCATAAAATATTTTTTAGTTAATAATAAATTCCATAAAGCAATGAGAAAGAATAACTAGACTCTGACCGATTTATATAATTATGAGTTATTTTCGTTTTGTTTTTATCTCAGAACAAAGATTTGAAAAAGTGTAGGTGTTGTTCTGTCTAGCAATAAACAACTAAGAAGCCTTAGTGAATTAGAAAGATTTTCGACTGCCAGTTTTTCTTCAGCAAAGTGAATTATATTCCCAGAGTGGGTACGCTGGTAAACATTACAATTTCTTTCATTTATACTTTTCTTTTCATTGAAAAATTTAAGCTATTAAAAATAAAGATGTTGATTTGATTCCTAGGACTATAGAGAATGTTTTGGAAGAAAAATAATTTGTCATGTCCACAGAAACTCATACTTGTGAAGAGATTTAAATATCTTATAAGATAAATTAAAGTTTTTACAAATTTGTATGCTCAATCGCCTAATTGTTTGTTGGTCTTTTATTTTTTGTAGGATTGCTATGCCACAATTTCATTCTACTTTTGTATGCCACCAAGAATTTTTTTTATTTTTTTATTTAGCAGAAATGCCTTTCTATTTTGTAATAGGTATTTCACTTTAACTAGAAATCATTCCATTGAATGACATATAGTCTTCTTTATTTTCTTCTTGGATTGAATCAATAGTTTTTTTGTTTTTTTTTCTAAAAACATTAACTTGGTTATTGTTATGGATACTTAAAGGGGTTCTTAAAGTGTGAGTCTGGAATTAGTTTATAATTGCATCATGTCAGATCTAGATTTTATAAATTTTAATAATTCATAATAATATTTTGCCCCCTTATAGTATTAAAAAAATTTCTTTATTTAATTATTTATATTCAGAGTTGAATATTTCTGTTGACTGTTTTTTTTTTAAATTTTTTTTTGTTGAAATTATGTGGATAATCAGTTTGAATAATCAGGTTTTCATTCAAGATTTGTTTTAATTTGTTTTCCAATGTTTGATTCAAATATGAAAGTCGTCATCAGGGCAATAATTACTGTCAAATCTAGCACTTAGTTACTGAATAGTCATTTCTTGATGCTGGACTAGATCATTGCCCTAATGATGACCCACAGGTTAGGAACTTCGGCAAACTGAATAAAACAGATCTTGACTGAACATCCTGATGAATCTAGACTGATTATCCTGAAATTCCATCTTTGATTTTTTTTCAAACGTTTTATTTCTCAAAATCATTTTTTGACCAAGAATTTAAAAATATAATTCAAAAAGTTTGTCTTAAAAAAAGAAGTTTATATTACTTATGCATCATCAAAAGATGTGTGTTATATAAAGATATGAATACATTGTATTGTAATTTTACAATAAAATGTATCACTTCTCACCAAATATTTCAAGATCTCATCAATTAACTCATTTCTAAAATATAAATTTAAAAAATCATTGTATTTCAATGGACACACAAAGTTTTAGTTAAAATAAAATTAAACAAGACACAATAAATTAAATTACACCATTAGGCGTTGAATAAATCAACAAGTCCAGGAGTGTTCTTGTTTTTGCCTGAAAAGTATTAATTATGGATTCATCATCATTGGTGAAAAAAAAATGTAAGACAAGACATACAATGTTTTGACTCTAACAAATAACAGATTTTCTATTGGACTATGACATAGTATTTCTCTTATTATTTACCACATAGATAAGGACTGATGTTACATTTTTACTTTCTTCTCACACAAAATCAAAACAACTATATTGTCCACAATAATAAATTAAAATATGTTTATAAAAAAAAAATGGACTTACCTTGGTCTTGCATGAAGGTCCTCAACATTAGTAGTGATTGCCTGATATATGAAAGGACATTAGACTTTTTTTAGTACATATTTATACCATACCTTCTTTACTTAATGAAGGTCATATAAAATTGTGAAATGTTACTTTCATGTTTATGTCAATTTTATTACAATGTTAGTATTTGTCATAACAGGTGATGTCAGTTTCTTACTATCTTTGTTCCACTTTTTAAGATTGTAGGATTATGATCCTTAATTCATGTAGATAACCCTGAAAAAAAAGATCATAATTTTTTTTTTAAATCCTCAGAGTTGCTGAGAATCACCTCCTTGTCTCTATAATTCATATTAAACCGTGCTACCCACTTTTCAGGGGAGACTGTAATTGTTTAATTAAATATGTCATAAAACTAAATAGAATCATTTTAAACTCACTGAACTTTCTTGTATCAATGTTTGATCTTCTTTCAGGATTGTGGCGACAATGTAAAACTTCTGCCTAGCTCAAGACCTAGTTCCCTCTATGTGCCGAGGGGAGAAAAATTGTCACCAGCCAGAAGATCTTTATCAGCTGATGCTGAACCTCAGGTAAATTTATCATTCATTTTGTTCCTGGAAACAGTATCATTTCTTTAATCCGTTAAATTGTTATGTAAGTTTGTTGTATTTGAACAACATTTTCAATGAAGTATTATCAATATGTTCATAAAACTATATTGTTGAGTTGAGTATCTAGACACCATATAGAGAACCAATGTGTAATAAATATTTTAGGTAAACAAATCAAAAATATTTAGTTTAAAGTTTCACTTCCTATAATGTTTACGCTAACTAACAGCAGAAAAAGCATGGTGAAATATTCTTTAAAAACATTGTTGCTTCGATATGAAAATTTATTTAATATTTAAAAATCAATTTAATATGCTCAGACATTTTTGTTTTTAAATATGGTGTAGGAAGGGAGGTTTATCTATTTCAGTGAAAATATGTGTATTTAAAACAGAAAGAACTAGTAAAATACAGCTATCAGCATTGTTGATAAAGTTACATATAATGAATAATTGTTGATTTGCAATTTTAATTAACGGCGTTGATGACCAACAGAAAACCTGTTTACGCCTTTACTATACTACAACCAACCAACCAATAATTGTTGGAAGGAAAAAGAAACAAATGCAAAGTAAAACTTGGTGTCATCCTTTAAAATCACAAACTTTGAAGCAATTTAAACATATATTTACAATAGCAATGAAAAAATAACTTTTTATGAAAACATTAAGTAATATTCCACCCAATATACCTGCATTAAGCAATTAAAAATGCTACTCTTCTGGTTGTTATTTGTATATTTGCACAAACTGAAAATATTAATCTAATTTTGAAAAATATATGAATAATTTTGATGGAAAAAAAACGAGAGTTAATATGGGAAATTAATGGAACCGGATGTTAAAGGTAACAATTATTGTATTTACAAAAAAGAGTTTATAATTATTTATCAAAATGTGCATTTGTGTTATAATATAAATTAGTGTTTTAAAAGATATGTATATGTATATTCTCCCTCTCCCCCTCCAATAAAGAAATAAAGATTTTAAATTTTGTTGACATTTATAAGTGAAAATTAATTTATTGATTGTTAAGTATTCTTAAAGTGAGTAATATAATCATTGGCCTTGGATAGTGCGCATTTGAAATATTAACTGTTCAGTTAGTTTCAAAGGACATTTAGGACATAAAACAGTTGTTAATTTTACTGACGCATTTCTTTGTAGATAATGCCTATTTAAACATTTTTAAAACTTTCAGAATTCTCACTATATTTTCTTTCTTTTTTCATGAGTTTAATATGTCTTTATTCATATTATTTTAATAAAATTTGACCATAAATAATAAATAAATAATTTCTAAATTACACAACTTAGCATAATGTTTTTTATTTATTTAAATATTTTTCATTAAAATTTACCAAACTCTTATTATAGCTGATAGCTATAATCATGGCAGGTGGTAGGAAGACTGAAAATTAATAATAAAATCAGTCATACGACAGAATTAATCCAGGTATACAATAGCTAAATTGTTGTAACTTTATCTGTATCATTAAAGCCAACATATTAACAGAAATATTAATTTAATTTATGTTTTAGAATTTATTCATAATTTTTTAATAGAAACATGCCCTCAAGAAATTCATAAAAACAAGAAATGTTCTTGATGCAATTGAGTTCAAAAGATTGAGAGCCATAGTGAACAGAACTATAAAAGAAAGCAAAAGATCGTCATGGAAAGACTTTGTATCTTTAATAAATCAAAACATTTCAATGAAGGAGCTCTGGAATAAAGTAAAAAGCATTAAGGGGATCCCCAAAACAATGAAATTGCCTGGTATAAAGAGTGGACAAGACATTATAACTGACCCTGACGAAATCGCGAAAAAACTGGCAGAACACTTTTATCAAGTATCCTCAAATATTACTCAAACCCCTGTAAGATGTAGAAATGTGCTAGATCATGTGAACTTGGGCCACGAAGAAAACTACAATATTCCCATCGGGGCACATGAACTCGAATATTTTCTACAGAAATACCCAAAGAAATCCGCTGTAGTTAGTGACTGAATCTCCTATATAATGATATAAAATCTACCTGATGAAGGCAAAAAAATACTGTTGCGATTGTACAACCAAATTTGGGATACTGGCTATCTACCACAAACATGGAGGCACTCCATGATAGTGCCTATACCAAAAAAAAAAGTTGTTTTATAACAGACTTCTGCCCAATATCACTTCTCTCATGTGTGAGCAAACTACAAGAAAAAATAGTAAATCAGAGAATTACCGAAGTAATAAAAAAGAGAGAGCTTCTCACTCCATACCAATTCGGTTTTAGGGAAGATCACACCACCATACTAAGAAGATGGCACATCAAAGGAAAATTATGGAAGTACATTAAAAATTTCCTAACAAATAGAACATTTAGTGTCAAAGTCGTAACTTCAGAATCCTCTATCTATGCTATGGAGAATGGCACTCCTCAAGGATCACCACTGAGCGTGACCCTCTTTCAGATCGCAGTAAATGACATAGCGGATGTATTTGACAAGCCTGCAAAAACCATTTTGTAAGCAGATGACATACTGCTGCTCATTCGAAGTAAATCAATAGAATTCTTAAAGTGGAAGATGCAAGAAGCACTAGATAACATAGAAACATGGTCAACAGAGAGTGGGTTTAAACTATCTGCTAGCAAAACTAGAGCCATGCACTTTTTCAGACTAAGAGGGTGCAAGCTAAATCCGAAAATACAGATGGGTGATGCTGAAATTCCATTCGTTAACAGCCTGAAATATCTGGGAATGCAGTTTGATCGCCTGCTTAGATGGACAATTCATATAAAACTGCTTAAAGAAGAGTGCCTCAAAAGAGTTGCTCTACTTAAATGTCTGTCTCACCCGACTTGGGGTCACGAGTATTAGAAGCAAATTAGTCTACGGTTCAAGCGTTTACGGCCCTGCTTCAAGTAAAACTTTAAGAATGCTGGATGTGGTACACAACTCTGCGTTAAGAATTCGTACTGGGGTATTGCCAACCTCCCCTGTGGAAAGTCTATATGCAGAAGCTGGTGAGCCTCCTCTAACCTTCAGAAGGTTATTCATGACAACGAAGTATGGCCTTAAAATCAAGACTAACCAAGACACATACTAAATAAGGTATTATTCTGCAATGAGGAAACAGGTAACATGAGGGACAAAAACTTTATTGAAACACTTCTTGATCATTTTTCGGACCTAAACATTGAAAATGCTCTGGATGTGCCGGATATAATAATTCCTCTATGGACCAATGTCAAACCAAATATAGATACCTCCATTGCCAGATATAAAAAGGATATAGCACTTCCAGTTGAAGTTCAAAAACTATTTTTAGAAAATTGGGAAAAACATAAGGAGTGTCACATCTTGTATACAGATGCTTCAAAAGTTGAAAAGGAAGTAGGGTGTTCCGTTATAAATTCTAATACTCAAAAACTTTTCGAAATTCCCGATGCTTGTTCAGTGTTTACTGGTGAAATACATAGAGACAAGTGAAACTACCAATTGGGCCGTGGTGACAGACTCTATGAGTTCATTACTAGCTATTGAACATACCAGGCCCAAAACCACTCTTGCAAAAGATGTAAGAAACATTTGGTGGCTAATAAGGGAGAAGGGCAAAAAAGTAGTGTTCATATGGGTCCCTTCGCATTGCGGGATCATCGGTAATGAACAAGCCGATCAAGCAGCCAACATGGCAAGAAAGCCAGATACAATATTCATGGAATCAATTAATGAAATCCCTCTAGAGGATCATGTTAAAAAAATTAAGGAGAATATGTGGAACATGTGGCAAAACAAGTGGGAACAAGGAGAATCAAAATTAAAAGAAATTAAACCCCACTGTTTAAAATGCGAAACCTCTCATCGATCGTCTTGAAAAGAGGAGACAGCCCTTTGCAGATTGCGAATTGGACTGTGTGACATTTGAACCAACAAGGAAAAAGTTAAACATGGCATAGAGTCTAAACGAAAACCTACAAGACAGTGAAAAAAACTTTAAGGTTTTTAAAACAAATAAAACTCTACAACAGAGTGTAATTCAAAGGTGTTGCCAATGACCCTACAGGGTAGAGGCAACAAAACATCAAATAAATAAATATTTTTTTTAATATTTAGCAATTTTGCAATTGTGAAAGAGGTGGGCTCCGGGGTGGTTAACTGCACTTTAGCCTCTTTTGCAGTTAATGACAGTGAACTGGTCGAGCAGATAGACCTTAGGTAAGGTTTTTTGAGTTCTTGTTGGCTGATGAGCATGCAATGCAACACCACAACGTGATAACTGAAGTTTAGAGGAAAAAATAATTACAAGTTCGCTTCTCGGTGGCAGGAGGAGCTTTTAACTCTTATTAAGCTTTTAAAAGATAGACCTTACAGAAATCTGATAGTAATCTAGAGTTGTAGTACTTTTTGATATTTCTATCTGACTTATTCTTGGGAAGTTGTAGCACTAACTCTAATAGATATCAGCATAATTCAGCAAAAGGGTTTTCCTCCTCTGGATCACAATTAATTGAGGTTTGCACATCAAGGGAATAGTTGGGAACTCTGGGGATTATAAGTTTTTGAAAAAACAGTTATTATTTTTTATATATATTTTTATGTAAATAAAAGTATGCTTTTATAATTAATTCATTAGAACCCTATTTATATTTTATTAAATGAAACTTAGAAAAGAAAAACATTAGATTTTTCTTAAAAATGCAATTGTTCTTTGAAAATTTTTAATAACTCAGTGGATTTTCTGGATGAATATATGTAATAAAACATACATTTTTGTGCTAAATATAGACATTGTTCTTTGAATATAAAATAATTAACATTATTTTATAGTCATTTTAGCTCATTATAAAAATGCTGATTAAATACTTGAGACCCGATGAGGTTTTGAATGGATAGTAGTAATAAATCTTGTATATTTTTAGACATTTTTATGTTAGGCAGAGATATTTTTGCTTTAATATGTAATAATTAATTGCATTTATATTAA